TACATACATACACACATATACATACGTATACATACATATACATACATATACATACACATACATACACATATATACATATACGTACACATACTCATATACATATACATATACACATACATATACATATCCATATACATATACATATACATATACATACATATTCATACATATACATACATTTGCATACGTATACATACATATACATACATATACATACATATACATACATATACATACATATACATACATATACATACATATCATATACATACATATACATACATGTACATACATTTACATACATATACATACATACACATACACATACATACATGCATACATACACACATACAATAATATACATATACATTTGCATACACATACACATATACATATACATTTACATATACATTTACATATACATATACATACACATACATACACATACATACACATACACACATACACACGTACACACATACACACATACACACATACACGCATACACATATATACATATACGTACACATACTCATATACATATACATATACACATCCATATACATATCCATATACATATACATACATATACATACATATACATACATTTACATACGTATACATACATATACATACATATACATAAACATACATACATATACATACATATACATACATATACATACATATACATACATATACATATACATATACATACACATACATACATATACATACACATACATACATATACACATACATACATTTACACATACATACATATACACATACATACATTTACAGATACATACATATACGCACATACATACATATACATACATATACACACATACATACATACATACACACATATACATACGTATACATACATATACATACTTATACATATACATACATACATATACATACATTCATATACATACATATACATACATATACATACATATACATACATATACATATACATACATATACATGCATGTACAGATACGTATACATACATACATACATACATACATACATACATACATACATACATACATACATACATACATACATACATACATACATACATACATACATACACATATACATACATATACATATACATACATATACATACATATACATACATATACATACATATACATACATATACATACATATACATACATTTACATACATACACATACATATGCATACATATGCATACATATACAAACATATACAAACACATACATACATACATACATACATACATACATACATACATACATACATACATACATACATGCAGACGGACAGACAGACAGACATTTATGTTACATGTACATTTACATATACATTTTACATTTACATTTACATTTACATACGTACAAACATACATATATACATATACATATATATATATACACATATATATATATATTCATATATATATATATATAGTTAAGACTTGGACAAACATGATGGCAATGATTTTGACCTAACATGAAGTAAACATGGATGGAACTTGGATGAAAACGGGTTGTCAATGGATTTAAACATGTGGGGGGGTATATTGGTATCATAGGCACATCCTCCATCGGATTTCGAGGATTGGGAACCGCGCAGCTGCCCCTTGCTGTTCTTCATGCCGCCCCAACATGGCCGGCGGCTGCTTGTGCTGGGCGGTGCGCGCTTGGCGGAGGCAATGGTGGGAAAATCGTGGAGCGATCATGGCCAATTTTGTTTGGAATTTTCAAAGGTCTTTGATGTCTTTGGTTGATGAAGGTCTCCGCTTTTTTCCAGGTAATCTAATTTGATCTCCACGGTCGAACATTTCTGTTCTTTTTCGCGGGATGATATTATCCTGTTTTTTTTAGATTTTTAAGGGGTGAATTTCCCATTTCTTGATGGAATCCCCAAGATGGTGAATTCCAGCGGTTTGTTGCCCACACCCGGTTTTTTGATTCTGAACGATGGGTTGCATCTTCTGGTACCCCTTATATTTTCCAAGGGGAATATAATCTATGAATGGATATTGTATGCGTGATATGCGTTTGATTGCCAAACTTGTTTCTCTGAAGACAAGGTCCAGCAGAACCGTTAGATAAGAACTGTTTAAGAATTTTACGGCCTACCCTGGGGTTCTTAAGTGCTATAGGTGGGAAATATGGAAATAATGAAAGAGGGTACCCTCAAATTCTGACTGGGTTAGTTCTTAGGGGGTTCATATGGTGAGGGTTCTACCCATTCATTTTGGCGTGGTATTAGGTCGCGAAGGAGATGGGGGGAAAAAAAAAATAGGTCCCGATTTTTTTCAGGTGCAGGCATTCCAAACAGAGCTATAGGCCAGATATTCCACCATGCCAGGGCTTCAAAGTTTTTTTTTGGCGCAGTATTAGGCTGCGTGTAGTGGCCTGGATCAAGCTGGTGAAAGCTTGGCGGGGGACCTTGAGATGGGACGATGTGCAAAAGATTTCACCGAGTGAGTTGCGCTATTCTGGAAACCGATTGACAGCAATTTTGAGGGTGACAAAGACTACAGGTCCCACCAAGCGGGTTCAAGAGCTTCCACTTTGCATCTCAGAGTTTCCTTACATTCCTTCTCCGTTTTGGTTGAAGATAGGTTTTGATTTGCTGAGGGAAGGTGCAGATTTCCGGAGAGATGCAAAGGAGGCGGGGGGAAGAAAAACACTTTTAAGTCCCGATTTTTTTTTTTCAGATGCAGGCCTTCCAAGCAGGCAGTGCAGGCAAGACAAGCCAACACAAGCCAAGGGCAGCCTCCGATGCCAAATGACCCTCAGTGAGTCCGGCTGGTGTCTAGCTGAAGTTGTGGAGATCCATCTTACAAACTACGTGAAGCTTCGAAGCTTCCTGGGGTCGCGCCATCTTTGTCATAATGTTTCTTTATTTTCTTTTGGGAAATAGTTGCTAATAATCAATGTTTGGTATATTGATACCCGTTACAGGGGAATAAGAACCAGCGGTAGAATTCCAGGGCACCCTAGGGTTCTTATTCCAATTAGCTGACAGAAAGGGTTGAATCCAACAATCCAGGCCCTGAAGCTCTTATTGCAGTAGGTTCTAAACAGTGGTTTCGCTGTGCCCCAAAATCAAGTTTATCACCATTTTCGCCGCCAAAAAACATCAGAATTTAATGAATTATTTCTCGACAAGCCTAGACTTGCATCAATGTTTGTGAATATCCCAATTTTGTGGGTGATATTCCGAAAAGTGCGACACCTTAAAACATTTAGCATCAATAACGCCAACATGTTATAATATGTTTAAAATCCCAGTTTTGGGGTTGAACTTATCCCCACGGGATCAGCCCAGTCTCTCTGAGGCATCTGCGGGGGACCGTGCCCACGCAGTGGGACCCCGATGTTTGGACGATGCCTGGAGTGTGGAGCTGGATTTTCGAGAAGGTCAGCAGCTGGGGGAGTTGATATTCCAAGAATCACAAGTGGGAAAGGATCAAAACCTAATACTCTCTGGTCATCAAACGTGGCAATGGAAAACCCTCCATTTATAGAATATGGTCCCTTCAAAACCCGCATATCAAAGATTTCTGATTGCTATGCTTGATTGCCGGAGGGTGTGTGTGGGAATGGATCTATCAAGATCTATCAAAAGGTTAATTGCTATACGGGAATGGATCAAAACCCAAAATAGAACCTATTTTGTTTGGTGGGGGAATGAGCATCCATTTACCCGCTGTTTTAGGGGTTTACCAGGCCACCAAATGTTTGACCCATATTCAAGTCTGTAAAAACAATATTAACAACCCAATTAGATTAATGGGATATACCCCAGTAATGACATAGGTAACATACACCCAACCATTTACAATTATAGCAGGCGATGGCTCTGGATGAATTACAACGACCTCACCCCGGTTTTTGGTCACCGTAAAGGAAGGTGAGGATCGGGGGAATCGTTCAGATCAATGCATCACCATGCACCACATCGGGTTTTCTCGTAATGGTCATAATAAGAAATATACCAAAATTGACCGCAAGAAATGATGATAAACCATTGGGCGTTGTGTTATCCGATTGAAACAACCCCAAATGAATTGTGGATTTCGCTTATTGCGCTCATGCTGCAGGTTTTAAAGTGACCAAAAAAGATGAAATCACAAACCAAAGCCGAAAAAAAAAACAGGACACTGTCAGCTGACACATGAGGAGTTTAGCCACAACAAAGTGGCGAAATGGGCGCTAGCCAGAAAAGGTTGAAGATTCAAACACAGCAAAGAGGAATTGGTATCGGAACTCACAACATAAAAGAGAATTGGTGATATTCACCAAGGAAAGTGACGATTTGATATTGTGAATCATGAAACTCTGTCCACCCATACCACGGAGTATAGTCACTTTGAGACTACCTCTGGTGGCATGACGCATGCACCCTAAGTAAGGGCTGTGCGCATCACAATCCGCAGATACGATTTGCGCATGATTCCATATGATTTTTGCCATTGAAATATAGCATATTGAATTGGTGGATTCGCCATTTCAAAGTGGACGACAATCCACCCTTGGTCCAGGTACAGCTCGATGGCAGGAACTCTGCACGACCAGTGCTCCTGAGGGGCGTGCTAGTCCTTCGGCAGAGTTCTTGGCTTGGCGGGAAACCGAATTTCACAGGAATTCATATGGGTTTGTCCACACTAAAAACAAGTGCCTCTAGATCCGCTTGTTGATCATCACTTTCCGTATGGAAATACTTGTTTTGGGGTATGTTCCCTTATATTCATACACAGCTCATATATATATATATATATATTCCTAAAATAGGGGTACCCCAAATCGTCCAAAATTATATAGGCCATTTTAGTATTGAAACCCCTGGTGGCTTGAAGTACCTCCATTTTGGGAAACCTCCATCTGTAAGAAGATGGACATGTTCTCATTATCATTGCATCTCCATCATATCCCCATGATATCCCCTTTATGTTCCCATTAAAACTTTAATAAATCCTTATTGTGATATGGGGTTGTCTGAAAATAGGGTATCCCTAAAGCCCATTAAACTTTGTCATCACTTTCCCATGAACCTCTTTTTGGGGATACAAACTATTTTGTGACACAACCATATTTAATGCCTATTGATACATAATGGGAATATACACTCCTTCAGAATAACATGGACCAAAAATTGAGTTTTTAGAAAAATAACATGGAACACGAAAATGGCACCAAAATGGAACCAACATGGTTAACATGGAATAAAAACAAATTTTGCTTGGAGCCATTTTTGTGCCATTTCCACCTCCGAAAATGACCCCGACCTATGTTGGCTGCCCCCTAAATTCTTCCATGTTAATTTCCTAACCATCAACAAGTAGTCCATGTTAGTGATTGCCGCGGAGTACCACACGATGGTTTAACATGGAATTCTGGGGGTCCTGTCTCAGATATTTTTTGGGAGCGGGGGGAAGTTCCTTTTTGCGTGTTTTTACCGTTTTAGGGAGTGGCAAACCAACAGGAAAATTACAACATACAGTACAAGAAGTTTATTGGGGACCCAAATGGTCCATCTGTTCCATGTTAACGCAGGGCATATTCGGGAAAACACATACGGTAGAAAAAAATAGAACCTGACTACAAGAAATGCTGTACTTCAAAAACTAATGATTACAGCACAATAGAATAAAACTGTTCCCACCGGTTGGGGCACTGCATTCGCCTGTTCCATGTTAACCAGTGGTGGGGGTCTTGGGGGGTCCAACCGGCTCAGTCCTTAATTTGGAGATGATGAAGTTTTTTTTCCGATTCTTTGTTTTTTTAAACATATTGCTCATTTGAAGCATTTTTGGTGGCAACAAAGGGCAACGACCACCAGAATCACTGGTTTAAAAGCATTTCCAAAAATACAATAAACCCAGATCCGGGCATAAGGGAAGTTGTTTGGGATCCCAAATAGTAGACCTATTCCATGTTAACGAGTTCCAGAGTCGGGACAACACGACTCCACCCCGGACTGTGGTTAACATGGAACAGGCGAACCCGTTGTTGGGGCAATGAAAAATAATGAAAAATAAAGAAAAACAAGGAAACACACACTTAAAAATCATGAAAGATAGAGAAAAACAAGAAAAAAGTAAGGTTGATATTTCAGAACTGGGGATGGCGACTCGGAGTCGGGGAAGGCGGGCTACAGAGCCCGGGATCGAGGACTTCGACCCAACAACAGGTTCGCGTGTTCCATGTTAACCACCGGTGGGGATCTTGGGGTCCAACGGCTCAGTCCTGAATTTGGAGATGATGAAGTATTTTTTTTCGGTTAAATTCCTTTTTAAAAATTGTTCATTTGAAGCATTTTTGGTGTCAACAAAGGGCAACGACCACCAGAATCACTGGTTTTAAAGCATTTCCAAAAAGTGCAATAAGCCTAGATCGGGGAAAAAGGGAAGTTGCTTGGGAACCCAAAAAGAATTAGATCTATTCCAGGTTAACGAGCGCCAGAATCGGGACAACACGACCCCTCCCGACGGTGGTTAACATGGAACAGGCGAACCCGTTGTTGGAGCAATGAAAAATAATGAAAAATAGAGAAAACAAGGAAAGCACACTTAAAAATAACGAAGAATAGAGAAAAACAAAAAAAAAACATTTAAAAATAACAGGGTCTATGTTAACAAATAAGGGGCCAACTTTTCACCTTCGAATATGTCCTCCAGAATTCCACAACTTTTAACATGGACGATTGCGGCAAAAACTATATTTTTTCCATAACAGCGTCTATGTTAAAGATTATGGGACCAATTTTCACCTTCAAAAATGGCACAAGAATATATAAAAATCTCTAAATTGGGTTATGTTAATGTAGGTTTGGCTAACATACGGTCCATGTTAAATAATGAACATTTTATACGGTCATGTTGAGGTGATTTTGAGTTTTACATACCCCAAATGTGTCTATGTTAGCGTGCGAAAACATTTTTTTGTGCGTTTTGGCCTTAACATGGAACACGACAAAAAAAATATTCTTAACACGGAACTTTTTTTTTTCGTCTATGTTATTCTGTCGGGGAGTAAATAAGTCATTGAATCCCTATTGTGATATAATGTGATATAAATAGATAGATATACAGTATATATATATATATTTTTCCCCACTACATATATGAATTATATGCTATCATACAGAAAGGAGTGTTTCCCGAATTGGGGCTACCACAAATTATCCAACATATTTCCAAAATTATATACATAGACAATTTTAGTATTGAACCCCCCATGGTGACTTGGGGGTACCCTGTTTTACCGTGGAAGATCACATCGTCCCAGGCGAGACCGGCTTCGATGGAAACATGGCCAGCTTCGATGTCTCGGCGCTTCCCAAAGGCAGAGAGATGAGATGAGTTCCATCATAGAAACCTGTGGGAATGATATTTGTAAGAAAAGTTGCAGGTTAGCCTCATGTAAACTAAGCATAACAAAGCATAACTACGGAAAACCAACCCTTTTCGAAATGACTTTTTTTTTTTGAAATCTATGTTGGTTTATCATGGCTCATGTGGAGCTGGAATCCGTCGCTTAGCTGCTTGTCCTGTAGTCATTTCAGCACGAAGGTCAAGCACTGGGCCGCAAGACAGAAACGTTGTGGGTAAAAAATGTCTGTTTCTGTTGGTTGTATCCTGATATAGTTTAGTTGCTCAATGAATGTCAATCGCCATTCCGCTATACGATATTTTTTACTATCTTGGTAGCTTTCTGGGGTCAACAGGGTACCCTTAATTTTCGTGAATCAGTGAACTCCGGGAGCTTGCTATGGATGCCGTCTATGGGTCGCTCGATGGCTGCAGACTTTTGGAGAAGCTCTCAATGAGATGAGTGCAATGGTGAGTGCTGAAGCATGGTTTTTATATGTTTTTATCCAACCTGCAGCCAGAGAAACATATGGCTATGAGTCCCAAAACAACCTTGCACCCAAACGGTATTCTTTATTGATTTGATCATGGATGTTTTTCCAGCTAAATATGGTGCTATAGATTTTGACCCATCCGCATATTAGCTTCATTAGGTGGTGACATTTCCCGACATAAAGATAGATATACATCACATATCATATATACGTATAAAAAAATATACATATTTGTATATATATATAGAATCACCACCCTTTCCGTGGGGTGGAAGCATGGGGGACGATCAAAAAATGTAAGCAACAATTTTGATCCCTTCGTATTTTTTCCCGATGGGGAAGGCTATATGTATGTTAGATTTCCCTGCTTGTGGCCAACAGTCTTAAAGTCGTCAGGAACGTTATTGCACTCTCCACCCACCCGCCTTTGAGCAGAAGCGAGCATGCGCAACATACATGTCAACAACGGCAACGAGTAAAATGCCCGAAAAGGAGCACGCAGCAGTTACATGGAAAAACAGCAGCCCGCCTCGAGGCGTTGGCCCCCAAAACAACTCAAGCAACTATAAAGTCCAAGACCCTTGCGAACTTTTCCACCTATTCTTTTTGCATGGCAGACTTTGGCATCCCAGGAAAGCGAACACCAAGCGTTGGTGGATCGAGTGAAATTTCAGCAGCGAAGCAGCGACATCGCGCGGGAAGGGTGGCGTCACTACTGTGGTGCTTTGGCTGATGGCGTTCAAGATCCCCAGCAACACGGCACTGATGGGTGCTGGGTGTGGGTATACAAGTACCATATACCCCCAACATGGGCATTTTTTGTTGGGGAGATGATGATGAAAGATTGGAATTTGGGGTAATTATTATTTTTAAATCAGAGAAACCAATTTGGGAGTGCGAAAATCGGTCATAAGTGGGAAATCTAATCAACCAAAAGAAGGATCCAACTAGCAAGCATCTGAGGATTTAACCATTATTAAGTGGGAATGGGTCATGGGTCAAAGTTTAAATAGTATTCAAAGAACCGCAGATGGAAAGGACACTTCCAAGATTCTTATCATTTGTCAACAATCTCATGTTTGCATTTTTGCGAACCCAAACCACTGACCCATCCCCACTTCGATGGTTTCACATGGAGCAAGAAATGATGAGGCATGGGGTTTATATCTAAATATTCGCCCCCTGAGCCAAGATGGTTTCCCTTGAAAATTGCAGCGACTGACTGAGAATAGCAAGTTCCAAAGGCTCCATTGGCGTCCACGGAAGGGTTGGATGATTCCCAGTTGGCAACCCCCTGAAAGTCTCAGGAAACACAGCTCCGAGTTCCTGCTGAAATTCTTGGAACTGCTGGAGACAGGGCAAGTACCTCAGGCCCAAGAAGACTACGACGCTTGGGTCGGAACCACCTTGTGGATCCTTGTGGATGGTTACTGGAGGCTGAAGAATGGAGCACCAATGGTTCAATGGACCTGCAGCCTTAGTCATATAAGTACTGAACACATCTCAGCACTCAACCAATTTCGGGGTTACATGGAGCTAGAAGGATCCTACTCTGCGCTCTTACAGAAGGGATCATACTCTGCCACCCACCGAATGCCATGTTTGAGCCTGTGCATTTTCAAAGAGGTCCGGAAGAAGTGCCATCAGGGATTCATCATGATTTATCGCCTGACGACTCAGAGGATTTTTGACGCAGCAGCTGTGGCAGTGGTCTTTGTTTGCACCAAAGCAAAGCTGTTTTTTGAAGGGGACACCCGCACAAATTGATTGACTTGTGGGTTGCTGATGTGGAGACCAGCATTAGACACTAAGACACTAAGAACGGCTGAATTTGTGGGTGCGGGTCTTTTTGTTTTTTTTTGGGTTTTAGATGTTCACCCACCCACAAGAAAATACCTCAAAGAAGTAGTGGACACAAAGTTTGAGGGGCAGTCTCCCCAAACATCCCCAAACATCCCCGAACATTCATTTCTTATGCAGGGAATCTTCACTAGCACGCATCATGGGCCCGGCAGAATCCCAGGAAACCCGGCAGATTCGCAGTGCCTGTCCATCCCTGGGTGGTCGGCAATTGGAACTCTGGATGCCGGAGAGCGAAGTGAGTGTCATGAAAGATGTGGCAACTTGGGCTGAACAGGCTGAATAGGGGCTGAATAGGGGCTGAATATGTTTGAATCCGTGAGGTGATCCTACCACTTTCATGGGTGTTTTAGTAAAGGACAACCAATTTCACGGGTGTTTCGTGGGATGAGGGAGACTCGAACAATTCTAAAATTATGTAAACATCTGTATTCATTTTTTTTGCAAACTTAAAACTTGAGATACATCTAATTAAACCATTTTTTTTGGATATTTTTGGTGGCTTAATTCATCATCATCTTTTCATGATAAAGCCTTCCATATGGTTCCAAATCCTGGCACACGTTTTTTCACACCAAAATAACCGATATGTACATGGATGGCCATCCCCCAAAATTCATGGAAAATAGATGAAAATAGCAAAAATTGCTAATTCCTAGGTTTCTAGGTTTTGGTATCACTAGTTTTGATTGGACGCAGTGATCGTTGTTTCAGCTCCATTTTTGTTGGATACACATGTATACTGTATACATACATATCTTTATACATCATATATAATAATATATACATATATGATATATAGAATGTATATATGATTCATATGATATAGATAGATAGATAGATAGATAGATAGATCATATAAAATCCATCTACATCCAAAATCTCTCCCAACTTTTCAGGTGAACTCCAACTGCTACTCTTTGGCGCCGGGCAAGTCCTCGTTGCTGCTGCCTGGGGACCTACTGCTGGACGTGGGCGCCCACGTGGGCACCGCGGCGGCGCTGGCTTTGCGGACGCCCCGGGTGCAGGTGGTGGCGCTGGAGCCGCACCCAGTGACCTTCCAGGCGCCGGTGATGGGAAAATGATGGGGAAAATGGTGGGAAAATGGTGGGAAAATGATGGGAAATGATGTTCAAAATCCTGGTGGATGAGTTACTTGATGGTGATTTTAGCAGTATTTTTCGGGATTTCAACCATAAAAAATCCGTTCTATAAGTGAGAAATGATGGGAACATGATGATACACTGATAAACTATGGTTTGGAATGGGGCATTTTCAGATAGACCCAACCATTTATGGTAATGTTGGGATGTTGGGAATGGTTTCTGTGGTGTACCACATGACCTGGAGTTATAGCCATGGCGAGATGGAGATGGAGATGCAACGTGCTCGAACTCAGCGTAGGATCCTGTCACTGTGATGGCTGTAGGGTTACCGTCCCAATTTGGGACCAGTCCCATTGCTTGGTGAATTACCATCTGGTTATTTAACATAGCCATGGAAAATCACCATTTTTAATAGGTAAACCATCTATAAATGGGCAATTTTCCATGGCTATGTTAAATAACCAGATGGTATAATTCAATCCAGTCATGAGATTGAGACCCTAAATATATCTTTTTCATGACTGGATTGCGTTTTTGGGACTAGAATCCGGCTGTTGGTGTATGACAAAACATAGTAATAGGGGCTATATATATATATATCTCAACTTCTGTGAGTGATTAATCCCATCCCCCGTTCATCTTAAACACCCTCAAACTTAGCATAATTCAGTTGGGGATTGGACAAAAACACCACCATAAATAGGGGTGTAACTACTACAAACGTGGGATGGGATTACCTACAGTTGGTGAGGTATAAACCATGACACTTCATGACTTTTATCCCATGAAATCACCTAGAGAATCATGGGATTAGCATAATCATAGTAACCCCCAAGTTAGATTACGGCGATTCATCAGTGATTTCAGTCGGACTTTCCTGAAGTCCATCTACCCTCTAATTATTTAACATAGCCATGGTATAGATTGCCCATTGATGGTTCACCTATTAAAAATGGTGATTTTCCATGGCTATGAGCCGAGCACCCCCTGAGATCCTACAGCGAAACCTCGCTGAAGATCCCCAAGCCACCCTGCTGAATCTGGCCATTGATGGTGGACCCAGTGGCTCCAGGGTGCCTCTCTATGCACACCGAGGTGGGGGCCTCACCAGGCAGAGGTTTTCTGGGTGGTAGATAGAGGGGAACCAGGTAGCTTGGATCGATTGTTTCATAGCAGATTTCATGAGATTTCCAAGGGAAGGACATGTTTGATATCTGCACAGTGAAATGGAGGATTGCTTGAGGCGACATATTGATATAGATCTGCTTGAAGGTTTCAATCCTGGCCACTCAAGCCACAGGGAGTACACTGTGGCCCATGGGACTCAAGATCTGTCAGCCGCATTGGTGCCTGAAAGATCGAACAGGAATAAATTATTTTCAAACTAGCAATCTTACTTTTCCATACTTCGGGCTGAATTATATATATATAATTTTATAATGTTATAAAATATATATATATATATGACCTCACTATGACGTCACTGGAATGATGGTTCATATGTGAGGAGTCATCCCCAAATGGCCGAACATTTTTCAGCAATTTTCAGATTAGTGAAAATTATATAGTTCGGCCATATACAGCGGATGGTGATTTATATAACGGCATATTCACGGAACAATTGTCATAGTTCATATATCACCTCACCAACTACAATTAATTGCCATTTTTCGTAGGCGTTTCCCCACTCCGACTAGTATCACATCATTATGATCTTCAATTATATAATGTTGACACAAACATGTACCCTCTGGTAATTTAACATAGCTATTGAAAATGACCATTTATAGTGGATTTACCTACTATAGATGGTGATTTTCCATTGCTATGTTAAATTACCAGAGGGTATGTGTTTTTTCCCATTTTGGTTCAGCCATTTTGGACTTGGGGGTTTTTGACACTCCCACTTCACCAGGCACCAACAACCCCTCGCGGCTGTTCTTCGCTTCGTTGTTCACCACCCGAAGTCACGCAGACGATGCCATCCTGGTGAGCTCCGTCACCCTACAGGCGCCCGGGCCCAGGGATTTTAGGAAGATCTTACCAAAATACAGTGATGAATCATGAGATTTTTTTGTGAATTCACTTTTCTGTCCTTTTGTTAGTTACTGTAGTTGCATTTCCCATACACGGTAGAATTCAGTTGTAGACCAACTTAGCATTTGGGTCCCACCTTGTAGGGCTTCAGAAGGTTTGTTGACCTCTCAATGATGACATCAGTTGGTGCATTAGTATCAGTTGTTGAGTCAAATCATAACTATGATTCAAGTCACGCTTTTCTGACTGGTTTTCGGTGTATATGATTTGATCATAGTTGATCATAGTTCATCATTTTTCATCATATTTCTTCATACCATGCCCTCAACTAACCGCGAGAGTTTTTCATTTCAAATGAAAAATAGTCTAGGTAGTCTTCCCCCAAGTCATGGCAGTGAACTCAAGACAGCTGAGTTTGTTTGAACATAGGGCTCTCCCAAATTCATCATCTTCCAATAAGAACACTTGCCGTTTCGGATGATGCCAAATCCCCCCACTTTCAGAGACTCCCTCAAAAAATGGTTATATAAGTTATATAAGTTATATAAGTTATATAAGTTATATAAGTTATATATATATATACATATATACAGACACCTATTCTTAGATTTTAAATGTATCCCCATTATACAAGTTATAGCGATTATATCCCCATGATGTGTGCCATGGTGAAAAGCTGGCTTGCAATATCCCATGATCAGGGGATGGTCTGGTGATCCATGACCCACTATAAGTCACTATAAGGATTCCCATTGTTGGATGCATGACCATAAACCAATTTTTTTTCGATATACCATCTTCTGACCATGTCACATATGCCGATGATATCCCCATAAATCCTTGTAAAATCTCTATAAACCCCTATAAATCCTGTTCAAACCCCTTTAAACTACTATACACTACATATACAAATCCTTTTAAGATCTCTATAAATCCCAACAAATTTATATAAAGCCCTTATAACCCCCTATAAATCCGTGTAGAAACCTGATAAACCCCTATAAACCCCTATAAACCCCTATAAACCCCTATAAACCCCTATAAACCCCTATAAACCCCTATAAACCCCTACAACCCCTATAAACCTTAAACATTCATATAAATTCCTTATTATTAATGGCCATTTGGACAGTGCATCCCTTGATTTTAGGACTTGATCCAACGCTACGCGCCCACGGTGGTGAAGCTCGATGCGGAAGGTGCTGAGCGCTTTCTGCGGGACGTGGAGGACTTCGGACAGATCAGACGCTTGGTGGTGGAGTGGGACTGGACGCACAACAAGTACCGAAGAAACTGGGAGGAGGTGCGGTTGCTGGGTGACGTCACTGGAATGGGTGGGATATTGATGGATACTGTATTGGAAGGGGAAAGATCCCCAAATGTGCGTATGATAAGAGCTGATAAGTGCTATGTTCGGGTTAAAGTTAATCATTATAATTCAGCCAGATAATTTTAATATATATATATAATATGTATATAATTCATTTTATCTTCATGTCTGCATTCAGGGTGAGTATGAAGAAGTACTTCTTGAAGAGCTGGGGAAGCTTTTGTTGCAGCGCTGGTCAGACTCAAAAACATCCGAGGAGTTACCTATCCACGGCCGTTTTTCGAGATGTGTGTCCAGAGAGCCAACATCAATCGGGTTGTCAGCTGTGATTCAACTGTGATAGTTTTTTGAATTTGGTTATCCCTAAGTTATCCCTTATTAAATCACAGTTGTTGAGAGTTATTCGCAGTAAGGCCCCGTTGGCGTGGCCGCCATGGCCGACCATGCCGAAATGTTTTATGATACCCCCTATTTTTCTACATGTAAGATAGTAGGTTGAACCCCCCATCGGGGTCGGGAATAGATCGCACGGACCTACTGTACATGTTGTATTCTTTTTCTTCCAAATTTGTAGTCTTTTCCTAACCTCATCTTTGAAGTTCTGGTTTGCATGAATTTAATGGTTCTTGGATCAATTTAAAGCTGGCAGCAATATTGACAGTAGTAATAGGAATAAAGACAATGATAGTGAGTGACAACAAGCAATACCAAAGACACCGCGTTTTGTCCAACATCACTTTAGGTTTACAAGGGTTTTAGGGTTTAATACTCCGGGTTTTAGGGTTAAGGTGGTTAGTTTTGTGGGTGTTCCATTTTTTTAAATGGTTTTGCAGGGTTTGGACTTTAGGGGGTTTGGATTTAGGCTTTCAGGATTTATGGGTGTTAGGGCCTGTTAGGGTTCAGGATGACTTGTGCAATCACGCACAGGTCCCCTACCTCAGCTTTTCAGGAACGCCAGTATTTTGAAAGTGCCTCCAGCAAATTGAGGTGTGTGCCCGTGATATGCGTAACAGCAGTAAAGATAACAGCAATGTGGTAAACCCAATAACGAATCTCCAATTTTTGATTAATATCCACCCATATCCACCCGTTCATTTCTGGTGTATTGGGTAAACACCACATTAATATTGTATATATATATAATTATATATATATATTAATATATATATATATATTTATATATATATATATTAATATATATATATATATATCATTAATATGATATAATTTACCAATGTTTACCACAATAATATGATTTTTCATACTAGTCACATTCGTTCCTCGTCACTCGGTGCAGGTCAGGCAGCACTTGGAACTCCACGACTTCAAAGTCTCCCTGCGCGGCACCATGCCGGCCTTCCACGAAACGACCGGGGAGGCATTGCTGAAGGATCCGCGTGGTAAGAAGCGCGGCAACACGGGGATGATCTTCGTTGCCTCCAGGAAAGCTGCGATGGCTGCGATAGCTGGGGATGCTGGGCCATATTTTGCTGCGTAAAGTGGGAGGGAAAGACATGTGGACCATGTGGATGTGTCCGACTTGGGGGATTTTTCAAGTGGGATAAAGTGGGGAAAGACATGTCGTCCTTAAAACTAGCTTTGGAAGATTTGACCCAGCATATTTTTGGGCATATTCAATGGGGGTATCCTGGGGATGTGACCAAACATATAGAAACACCTCTGGGTTTGCCCAGAGATCATGTATTTCCCCAAGAAATGCTACTTCCATGGGAAAACATAGGGAAAAATCAACGAGAATCGGTTTGAATTGGGGATATATGATGATATCTGTATATACACATATATAGATATATAGATAGATAGAATAGACACCGTTTTTTGAGGCAATGGACGTATGGATGGAACGGGCTTCTCTAGTTGGCTTGGAATTTAGGGTGATGGAAGTCTTGGAACCTGGAGCATGGAGGATTGGGCATGATGAAATGGGGCTTCACAACTTCCCAAGCGACTGCCAACCCCTGACCCCCAGTGAATCACATTTCAGCAGTGTCAAAAAGCCATTGGATTATGGTGAAATAGTGTGAATATTGAGGTTCTTATTGAGAATTGAAAAGGGATCAAGCAAAATCCACTAGTGGAATAGCTATGGAACCAATTCGCAACCTGTTTGATGCTGCTCATGGCTCAAGGACTTGAGGGATGTTGCCATCCCAGAGCCCGAGGTGCATCCACTTGGTCATGACTTTCCCTACCGAAAACAATGGCCAGCTGAGGGATGTACCCTCTGGTTATTTAACATAGCCATGGAAAATCACCATTTTTAATAGGTAAACCCAGGTAAACCATCCATAAATGGGCCATTTTCCATGGCTATGTTAAATTACCAGAGGGTAACAGCAAATAAATTTTCAGACACACTCAGTTCTTTCCGATTTTCCAAAAACTGGCATGATGAACATGGATTAGTCAAGTAATTCACCATCTCTCAAGTCGGGTTGGTTGTATGCCCATCTTGAATCCATGCGACTTGGCTCTGTCGGGTACCCCTAAATCCATTGCTCAATCATCATTCTCCCTGACTAAATTGGCCATACATGGGGAGGTATGCACATTGTCAGACCTAAAACATGAGACGACATGAATATATATATATATAATATATATATATATAATATATATAATATATATAATATATAATATATATACACATGTGTGTGTATACAATATATATATATATAATATAATATAATATAATATGTAATACATATATATAGTACATATATTAACATATATGTATATCCCCATGATATTCCCATGACTCCGCATTTTTGTTGCTTCTCTCCCCAAAGTCCCTCCGTTTCGGACGCCTCAGAGCTACCTGGGCAGCGAGAACGCGCAGCCGCGCCTCGAGGAGCAGCTGTTGGCGCTGTCGATGGAACAGCTGGAAGAGCGCTTGAGGTGGTCATTGAAACCCAGTGGTTGGTGATGTGCTAAACTCAATGGGGTTTCATGGGATTTCAATGCGATTGTTCATTGGATTTTAATGGAATTTTATGGGATTTTGTTGGTTTTGATGTGATTTGATGGGATTTGATGGACTTCAATGGGATATATAATCAGCAATATGATAAATTATGCTCATGGGAATACATCCAACAACCATCAATAGGAATATACCTGTGGATATAATAATACACCAATATGATCATATAATGAACCAATATTATATGATTGGAATATTCATATTCGATTATAGGCATAGGGATATCATAGTTGAATCTAATTGGAATATACCTGGTTGATGTGAATATTACCCTCTGGTCATTTAACAATTGGTATGGAACATCACCAATAGGGAAATCATCATGTTAATCATCTATTTCCATGGGCCATTTTCCGTAGCTATTTCAAAACTAACGAGAGGGTACCTAAAACTGCAGGGGATATCATAGGAACATCATAGTTTTGTCCATAAAACACCATAGGACTATCATGAGAATATTTGATCATATACGATCGGAATATCGTGAGAATATCATAGGCATATGTCAAACATTCAACAATGTGATATTTAGGCTTGCCTGAAACTGAGGGATATACCTAAAGTTTTTTTTGGGACATATGATGATAAAGCATGGGATTTTGGGGTAGCATATTTTCAGACAAACCCAGATGTTTGAAATGCCATCAAAGATATGGCTTTACCTGGTGATACAGCCAACCAACATTTGGTGGGCTTTATAGCCATATTGTACCAACTCTAAAGTATGATGGTTGGCACTTACAATAAACCATCCCCAAAACCGTTCCAACATTCGGGTTGTATGAAGTTGGATATGCCATGATATCTTCCTATAACGGCGATGATGTTAGAATCACCCCCAGATGATTGCTGTTGCTACCATATTAATTCCATCCCCTAATGTTAAATATGACGAATGTGAGACTCAAATATAGAGATCAAATACTAAAGCGGGGGTTTGAGTTTGTTTGTGGGTATTTACTGTAGATATTTGTAGATGTATTTACTAGGGAGAAGGGATTAGCCATGACACATGATGGTTTATCAGACAATAAACCAGGGTTATTTGACCAGAAACAAAGAAGGATTTAACTGCAACTATCTATCCCGAATCCCAAAGGAACATGGGGATGTTCAGCAACAAGTGACATTTGAGGTGTATCAGAATATAATGCTGGTTTCATCTTTGTCAATCCAAAATGGGCCTTTACCGACCAACCAGCAGTCATTGGATTGCTTAAACGACATGGTATTACCAAACAAATGAGTGGTTTGGGGTGTGAATGGGGTCCTGTAATTGTTTCCTTAATCTGATTCGTCGAGTAGGTTTTGGGATGATGCTGAGCAAACCTGTGTGGGTGATAAGAACCATAGGTGGGTATGGAAATGGGCTATAACTACCGCAGATACTTTGATGGGGTCATAATATCCCTACCGCTATGGTTATTTGCCAGTTATTTGCCAGTTGAATGGGGTCATAAAATCCAGTTCGAACTGTTCAGACTGGTGGGGACCACTTTTCAAAGCAAGAAAAATGGGTAATTATTTAATGGGGATAGACATGTTGCTTTGACGCCTCTGTGGCAGGCATTTTGGAGAGCCTGTGCGTGAGGTTCGAGGTGAAGAATATTTTCTTCTTGGTTTTAAGGCACCCGTGATGTTTCGCCACCCAGTAATTCCTATATAGCTTCCAGCGATCCAACGTATCCAGCTGTTCAAGGTAGAATTTGAAGCCAATCCATTTCAAAGAATTTCGCTGCCCAAGATTCAACCTGCCCCAAAAAACCTTGCCGACAGGAGAGAAGAACTGCCGAACTGGTGAAATCGCTCTGCGAGGTCTACCAGCGCCCCACCTTTCGTCGAAGCATTGAACACTCAGATGGTGTGCCCCTGCAAGAGGATGGGGTTCAAAAGCTCCTGGAAGTGCTTCGGAGCATCAACTTTGAAGAGAACCTGCGTCCAAGTGTGTGACTACGTCTGTGACGAGCAAATGTTTTCCTATTTTGGTGCCAGGGGAGAACGTTGGGCACGCTGGAGTTGCCACAAAGAAGGATCATTTCACCCAGACAATTCACAAATTTCAGTCAGATAAGTTTCCCCTAAAAAGTGATGCCAAATCTAGATATGACCCACTATCACACATCCAAATTATGGATAATTATGGCACATATCATATATATATATGCAAAAATACACACCACCTCCTACAATCTTTAATTCCATGTTTCTCTTGATCTGAACCAGGCCAGTCCTACATTCTGACATCACCCAAATCTGATCTCCATCAAACGCCACTGGTGCTAAACGTCATTGCTTCTAATGGGATGATTCTTAAAAGATGATGGGTATGGGTCATTCAGCACCATTTCAAAAGCCAGAAGCTGGTGAAAACCATGTTTCAAGATCAGATCATGAGCATCAATGTGCTAAAAACAATGTCAATAGCTGCACCCAAAACATGGTTTCCCCATCAGATCATGAATATCAATGTGCCATTTTATATGCCATCATATGCCATAACATCAACCAGCCAGGCACGCTGCGGGTTACCTCATCCTGAAGCTCGTCGCCATCCCTCAGCTCCGCTTGTCCTGGGGAAAAGACGAAGGTCGCCGGGCGCGGCTGTGGCAGCTGGCGCTGGAGCTGCTGAAGGCGGCGTCCGCGAAGGCGGCAGCCTTTGAGGTGACGGCCATGGTGACTGGGCGATGGCATGGGCCGGATGTGGAAAGGATATATATATATACATATATATATATATATATATATATACATACATATATATATATAGTATACAGATATGTATAAAGATAGCCATTGAAACGTGGGAAACATTGGGAAACTTAGATGGGAACAAATGGGAGAAATTGGGAGTTGGGATGATAGGATGGGTTTCACGGTGCATTTGAGCCTCATTTGATTCGATGATTTGAGAGGATGGGATGGGAAACCCCAATAGCCATTTAATGCCATTGAAAGTGGGCAATTATGATAAATTATGGCAAAACATTGGGATGAATATGATGTACACTATATATATATAATATACCTTCGATGTGAATCTACATTGAAAACTACCGTCTTTTTCATGAAGGAATCTAGAATGGAGGCAAAATCTAGGGGAATCCCACAGGATTTCTGTGATTTTGCTTGTGCAGAGCAGAAGTATCAGATACCGGATTGTGCTTTGATTGTGCTATATCCGCTTCTGTGAAGGATACGCGTTTCCTGCGATTCTCTTCAGTTGTTGGGGCCAAAAGATGCCAAAAGCATCACACAAAACCTTAAGGCGGTGACCAAAAACTTCCGTGGCAGTCCACACATCGACCAAAACGACTTCTCCGTCCAGTATGCGTTGGCTGTGGGCGACTTCGCTTCGGGCGGAGAGTTGTGTGTGGAGGAAGCGATGGGTGAAAACAATGGATGAGCTGGCTACGGGTAAGGTAATCAAACGTGGCTGGCTGTGAAAATCAGGGAAATCCCTATAAATGAAGGTTTTCATGGCAAAATCATCTAATAAATTACCACGTTTGATTATATACCGGTGGTCGGGAAAGACATCAATGGACCAACCTATGCCTTAAAAACGGGATTGAGCCAGAGGTGAAAGTGACTTGGGATGGGTACCCTTTGACGATCCCCAAAAACTGTTGGCCCAATTGAGATTCAGGAGGGTTATTTTGGGAGTACAAACAAAAAACAAATTAATTTATCAGCAACCACTATTCGTTTCTTCAATTAAAATCTTTGCTGGTGGGTTTCGCCTTTCTGAGGATGATTTTTTTGTCAGGAAATTGATGGAAAAATCATTATGACACCAAGAGAAGTTGTCTGAATTCCAGAAAAGACCCGCACTTAATATCAGACCATCCACATCCATGTGGCTAAAACAATGCCAGTTGCACCATTCCCCACAAAAATCAGCATTTTTATACCCTCTGGTAATTTAACATAACTATGGAAAATCACAATTTTTAATGGGAAAATCCACTATAAATGGCAATTTTCAATAGCTATTTTGACATAACCAGAGGGTAGGTGCTTCCTGGTGCTATCCCATTCCCATGACCATGGCTGGTTGGTTTCCCTCAGGAGAATCCGTTCTTGGTGAGAGGCTTGAACACGCATAACCGCCTGGTATGCATCGATGGCCGCTATCCCCATTGGGTTTCTGGATACACTGGAGAAAGATGCTGGGGAAAATTTCCAGAGATGCAGTTTTGTGGCTGTCAAACATTTTTTGACATACTGACCACAGAAGTAGGGGGTTCAACTATGTTCAACTACCTATTGATTTTGAACCATTCTTGTATATTCTTGTGATGGTTGGTTGAGATGTGTCATATTTTGGGATTATAGCATATTATAGCCACCAAGCAGTTGCAGAAATGGGGAGTTTAAAACCATGTGGCGTGATCCGTACTTGATATAGAAGCTGCAATCAATGGGGTTTCTATGTGTGTGTGACCGCAGCAAGGGTCAATCTGGGGATATAGACAACTTTTTGTTGTTTCTGGTCCAAATGGGAGAGATCACACTGATCCAAAGCGTTTGGGAAGTCGAGGATATTCCATCATCTTCTATCGAACATCGGGTGATTGGGATCCACCACAGCAAGCGGTGCATCCGGTTTGACATGCTTTACGGCAGCCTGGCCATCCGAAGCCCGTGCTCTACCAGTCCAGATGAGCCCTGTTGGGGTCTTGAACTTCTAGGGCTGGCCTACGTGAAAGCACACGGCCAGATGCGCTGGTGAAGAGAAGCTTGAGGATTCGGAGACTTACAGCCACACCCACAATTTCCCGTAAATCGAAACTTCCGGCCAAGTGACCAAGTGTAGATTTAGTGTAGATAAAAGGATGATAAAGGAAGTGTCTTAGGTTTGTTGAGTTAATTGCTGGCGCAGCTTTCCATGACGAAAGTGAAGAAAAAGTTGCTGGAAGCGGGCTCGAAAACGCGGCAATGATTGATATCAAAGTGTTCAGATTGAAACTTCCAATGTAATTAATTACATTGATTTCTTACTGTATATAAGTTGATAATGGTTGATACAATGACAATCGAAGTTCCCAAGAAATCAATAGTTGAATCATCAAGAAATGCTAGACTTTCTTTTGCCAGCCCACATTGCTTCAGGGCAAGGTATATCTTTGGGTCTTTGGGTATGATCTAAATGCACGGTATCGTAATACATATGGATATATAATATAATATAATATGATATGATATGATATGATATGATATGATGTGATAGAATACAATATATACATATATGCACGTTATATGCAGATCATATGCACATCATACATATCATATTTTGAGCCGACATATTTGAAGCAATATGATACACTATATTGTGTATATATATATATAAATTCAAATGCACATAAATGCACCCAGACCCTGAGGTTTCTCAAAGCCCCAAGGCATCGTCGTCATCATCGTCATCATCATCACCATCACCATCTCTAGTCTCTAGGACCATAGTAATGATAATAGTAATAATAATAGTTACTATTAATGGTGATAAAAATAGTAATTAACAAAAATAGTAATAAAAATAGTAATAAAAATTGTAGTAATAGTAATAATAGTAATAAGAATAGTAATAAGAATAGTAATAATAGTAATATATAATAGTAATAGTAATAGTAATTAATAGTAATAGTAATAGTAATAGCAATAGTAATAGTAATAGTAATAGTAATAGTCACCACCATCATCATCATCGTCGTCGTCATCAGCTTCATTCAGACGCTGAGATTGCGGGCAAACCTGAGGGTCCGTAATGATAGACAAATAGACTGCATAAATGTCCTTTTCCCACTGGTTGATTGACAAGGGGTGCATCCCACTGAGTGACTGGGTCATATCCCCAGTATCCCCCAATTATATATATATAATTATATGGGATTATATGGGATTATATACTACCATATATATATATATTATACTGTATGTATGTATATATATATATACAGGTATATCAATACATACATATATATATATACATACATTTATATATACACTACACTATATGGAATATTCCCAGTTATATATGGTCGGCTCCATGGCGGGCCAGGGGACAACCCATGGCAACGTCCTGGGGCCGTAGTGGTGCTGCGCGCAGGCGCTTTTGTTCCTGTTTTTTTTCCTGCCGAAACCGTCAGAAATCCATGTTTCTGGCAGAAAAACATGTGTTTTTGAGTCGTACCAACCAAAGATTGGGATTTTAACAGCGACACATGTGTTTTTTCATGAATTTTTGTTGTACATCTGTTGATTTTGCAGGTAAGAACTGGTGTTGAAGAAGCAAAAAATAGCAACAAACAACATAGGGCACCTTTTGGCGGTCAAACTTGGGTTGTTGAAATCCACATTTTTGACAGGAGACTAGTTCATTGGTAAATGGGAGTATTGAGGATTTTGACTGGTGGGAATAATGAACGAGGGTAAACAGAAAATCGGGTAGCCTAGTGGTATTCAGAGTCCAAGAGTCCAAGAGTAAAGTGCAAGTCACGTCCGATATTTCCATGTCACAGATCACCCCACACTGCCATACCAAATAATTCCCATTGGAATCATCATGGGTGTCGCATCCCATCTGAATAAAACCCTGCTTTTTTAATGGTCCATATGTGCACATCACTCCGGCAGGTTTCTGGGGGATGTTTAATGCCGACCGCAGCAGGTCATCTTTATGTGTCCCCTCCAGTGGCGCCGCATTGCTGGGTGCAGATCCATCCTGTAGAAGCACTGCCGATGTCAGCACAGATCTATGTGGCCTCCGGCCCACGTGCATGTTGTTACTTGGTTATACAGTTAGTTATACAGTGACTGGTTGGTGGTTTGGAACATGGCTGTTATTTTCCATTTCATATATGGGATGTCATCCTTCCCATTGACTTTCATATTTTTCAGAAGGGTGAAACCACCAACCAGAACCAGGTTATATTTGGTTCAGATCTCAAGTAAAGTCTGTTGTTTCCTTTGGTTATAGATTGCCTTGGAGAGGGCGGAGGTTCACTGACTGATCGAACCGGTGGATATGGAATGATTGCAAGATGATATGAAATCGTACCTACAGTAAATGTGTGAGGCATCCGTTACTGTATGTGTCAGCTCACATGCTAGAAACAGATGTCAATCATTTTCTGGCGGACTATATACTTAGTTTGACATTGAAATTCTTACAATTCTTGCACTCAAATGTTTATTTTGGGTTTGTCTTAAAAAAAACAACTACTGCATATCGGTAAACCCCAAATCCATGGGGTAATCATAATGTTAACCCATTGGATGGCAATGTCCCCCATATCGTTGTAGTCATATCCACTGCCAGACATTGGATTCATTGGATTATTTGCCCAGGCCAGGTTCATTCTGTGATTGAACCCCATGTTTGAGACACATCCATTATTGTTGCTAGTTACCCTCTGATGTTTTAAAATAGTTACTGTATTGAAAATCGAATACACTCATAGATGGTTTACCTACAAACATGGTGATTGTTGGTAGCTATGTTAGTTTACCAGAGGGTCATATTCCCGTGGTTCCTGCTTTACCGTTTCATTCGATTCATTGTGTCCAAATAATGGCATGAACTGCCCAGAACAATTGGTTACATCCACTATATGATACTATATCATACTATCATATTATATCATACTATATCCATTATATCCACTATATACAACTATATATATATATATACACTACTATATACCATTATACCCCATTACTCCATTATATACTCCATTATCTCCATATTCATATGCTGGCTTGGCTACTCCCGGCTATTGCTGGTGATGTTCCCAAAGAAAAACTCCAATCATATGTCCAACTGATAACACGTATTTTAACGACAACATTGAGAATTAGTTTATAATGACCGAAGTATTGCATAGTCCTCAAATCCGTAGGGTCATCGACTAATGGGAATATGACATTTCTGAGGATAGTTTTTTTTTTTTTAAATACCGTTTCCCTATGTATTACTTTGAAAAATGGGATGATGTTACTAATTTGTCATGTTCATGGAAATACTAGTCATAACACGTCATATCAATAGAAATAGTACTCATTCAACACACACAGATACACATATATTAATATATATATATACATAGTCATCCTGCAATAGATAGAACATAGAATTTTCAAAAAAATATTCCCTGGAATGTGATTTTTTAACGCACCATATTCTATCTACTCCAGGATGATTAGACATAGTGGTAGTCAATCGAAACAGAACCATGATATATTAGTGTCTAATATATAGAAATAATTCTACAATATTTAAATTTTCAATTACCAACGCAATAACTATATTATATACCAATGAAATCAACATAGTATATCTATATATATATATGTATGTAATATCTTAGAACGAGTACCATAATATATCACAATATACAAAATTTGAATATGTATGTATATATATATACACATGTATGTATATATATATACATACATATATATATATATATGTACATATACATACATATTGCCGTATTAATGAATAGAAATAGTACGGATTTCCCACAAGTTTTCTTCCCATCAGCAAGGCCCACGGCTCTTCATCTTCACCAGCGGCGGAATCTTTGCCTCCACGGTGGGGGAGCTGAGGGCGCAACGACGAGCGCCCTGGTGGCATGGTTGTATAATGGACATATTTATTACCCTCTGGTGAACATACAAAAAGCAATGGAAAATGGCTATTTATAGTGGATTTTCCCATGAAAAATGGTGATTTTCCATTGCTATGTTAGTTCACCAGAGGGTATATGATAAGTAGTATAACTCCAATAATGGGATGATATCACTTGTAGTATCACATTATACAATGCCATATGATATCATATGATACAATTGACAATTGTAATACTATGGATAATTGATAAGTAGTATGATTGGAATATAATAATATTAGTACCATAAGTGTAAAATTGATAAGTAGTACTATAAGTATATAAGTACTAATAAGTGGCATATAAGTACTGTGCATCATAATCGATGTTTTTACATTCATATGTATAATAATTATCAGACATTTTAAACTACTATTCATATATATATATATACATAGATAGATAGATAGATAGATACCCTTAGTTCTGAAACGTTGAGAAATCCCCAAATGTTAGCTGAACATGTGACTGGACTAGTTTTGCCACTGGAATTTTCTGACATGGTGAACTTGGGGCAGCCGACCAGGTTCCCAGTTGCCCAAGGTTCTGCAAAGATTGGCCAGGCAAATGGAAAGGCAGTGGCCACGTTTGCCAGCTGTCCTGTGGCGACTGGACCAAATCTGGGATCCGATTTCGTAAATTGGGGATCCACCTTCGGCAGATTTGGTCAGTTTCATGGGTTTGTTGGCCATAAGATTAAATGAAACATATCAAACCACGTTTTCAGTTTGTTTCCTTTCTTCTTGTTCTTGTTCTTGTTGGAATTATATAATGCTGTGACATGCACTTCTCCACATGGGCAGGGTCGCGGCCACGTGGGCTTTGGTTCAGGCTGTGGGTCAAAACCGTGGTATCCACTTAGTCATATATGAAGTATTAGGTTTTGATCCATTTCCGTATTGGTTTGTTGGTTTCACATCATTGGCATATTGTATGCATTGTGCTTCCATCGTTTTTCTTCGTTGCCGGAACATGATTTCCACTCGACGTGATCCTTTTCTACGAGTTTCCTGGTGGATAATTTCAACTTGTATTTATACATCCTAAATGTCCATCCATGTCCATCCAAACAGATGAAATATGATGAAATGATGGTGCCGATATTGACTTTTGCTATCTTGGAGAATGGGTAGTCTAGCGCTCAACCACCATCTATTGCTGACTTGTGCAAAAACCTCTGTTTACTGTAGCAATGATCTCCCTGAAAATAAAACAACATTTTTATCCCAGCATTTTCTTAAGATTGGCTCAACTAGCACCACATTTCACATCATTTCAAACATAGCATCCCTGCTGGCTGCTGGCAGTTTCCGCTGAGGCAGACGCGCATCATCCCATACTTGCTTCCAGTGGGAGGCCGTGTAGTGAAACCTCTGCCGAAGTCGCTGCTGCGAAGGAAAAAAAAGGAGCGCTGCAGATTCTGCAGATCTGTCAGAATTCATTGGATTTTAGAGGCTATTTTTAAGGGCCCTGTTTGAAGTCTCTGTGCTATGCTACTCATAGTTGACTTGCCTGAAAAAATCACGGGGCTTTTCAGAAAAACATGGTGACATATTGGTGTTAGGAATAGTTGATGGTTTCAACTACTCTCACCCCCATATCCAAATTGTTCATGCGCGTCAAAAACACCCAGCTAGCTCATTGATGCACTTGATGATCGTTTGGTGGGTCAAAATTCAAGACGTGTTGAGAACCGGAGAGGGACTGGGCATGTCTATTTCATGGTAACACCCCCAAAGATAGAAACCCGATCTACCATCCATGCAATTTTGGGGCCAGGCAGCCACATTTGTCATGTTTGATTGTATTGATGCTCATTGATCTCCAGTGACATCGTAGAGATGTTGATCAAACGTTAAGATTTCTAAGCTCGCCTGATGTCCAATGTCTCATCATGTTTCAGTATGGAGCCTCCCATTTTGTGGAATCCTGTTACCCTTTTCTATCAAATTCACCAAAAGACAGCATTCCCCCCAAACGAAAGCCAATTGGCGGTATTGAATATTGGCATGATGGGATTTATGTTGTTTTTGACCTTTCGTCTATAGTAAACCATCCCCACCGACCCCTGTTGTATCGGTATATCAAATAATAAATCAAAATTGGGGGTGGTTTCATTACGAAACACCAAAACTTCCAATCTTATTCCATATGAATCCATAATTTTCCGATCTTCTTCCCATGATTTTCCCATAATTATAACAATGATTTCCCCATGATTTCCCATAGTACTCGACTCGTAGTCCATTTTATTGAGTTACCCTACCAAAAAATAAGTCGAACCAAAAATGGAGCTATTCCGAGGATGGCATCTGCCGGGATGTTGGGATTGCTGCAGCCTCAGGAGTCATGTTTTTGGCCTGGTTAGTGGTTTCAATAAAGTGGCATTATATAATATGGCGATGTCCTACAATGCGGGTACCCCAATAGCTGGATGGTTTATTTCATGCTATGAAAGTGGATGATTTGGGGGTTCCACCCCATGGATTGGAAACCTCCATATGCTTGGCGATTGTGTTCAAGAGCTTTCAACCTTCTTGAGTTTTTTTTTTTCGCACCATCCAGTCATATCAGACTTCTTCTTGGTTGTGCCAATGGTAACCTCGTAGCGTGCTGAGGCTGTCAGGTTTTGGGCTATTGATCATGGAATCAGCGCGACATATGCAAAATCACTGGGATGTCTATCAGAAAGTGCCTCGGATGCCTCCGATGCCTCGAATGCCTCCACCTCCAAGTGACGGATTTCGATGCAAAGCGCTAAAATTTTCCAAGTGACTTTTCGAATCAGAACTCAAAACTTGGTGATTTTCATTGATCAATATAATATATAATATATAATATATAATATATATATAATAATAATTAATAATATATATATATATATATTATATATAATATACTATATATATGCAATTCCTGCCCTTTGGTAATCAAACCCTGGCTTGCTGGAAGATTCGCCATTGAGTTTGAATGTAAGTTTTTCATGTAAACATCCATTTAAGTTGAGGATTTTGCAGCTAGTTTGGTTATCTTTGGTACCTTGTTTGGAGATGGTCACACAATGTGAAACAACACATCTCTTCTGGTAGTTTCACATGTAAATTCAACACCTTCAAACCCAAATATAAATATAAGATGATGTTCCGAACAGACTTTTTTACTTCTGGGGTGCGTGGTTTAGCCACCAACCAGTGAATATGATTGTTGATTGTTGGAATATCCCAATTCAAACCAGTTATAGAACAATTTGAACCACTGACCAGCCAGTATTTCAATAATCGTTCTTTAGAGACCTGCTGCCTCCACTTTGAATGGGTTCTCGCCTTGTATCGATTTTTCAGGGTTCCAATTCTTTATAGAATCTTGTTTTGGAGGCTGCTACAACATTATACAACCGTATCTAACCCCTTAGTCACCTTAGTCATAAACCTTGTCAGAGGCTTCAAGGGTTGATGTGCAAAACTCTAATTCGGACTCTCCCATTCTTTAGGCAATGAGGTGTCTTTTCAAACTTGAACCCCCTAGGCCCTAGGTTCCCATTCTTTAGGCATCATAGATCTTGGGGGGTTTAGCTTTGATTCTCAAACTTTTTTATCCCCCAAGGCGTCCCTCCAACAGGGTATCTAGCTTCGTCATTCCCCCAGGGAGCCGATCAGCTGACCAAAGATCTGCTGTCGCTTTTCAGCAAAGTGCCAGAGAGCTTCAAGAAGCAGTATCAGGTGAGGGATGGGGATGCTGAGAGCTTGTCAGTTCTAAGGGGATCCAGGGGGTATGAGTTTGTTTGAAGATGGGGTACACAAAAATTCCAACCGATTATCGTCAGTTTTTTTAGATTCCCCTAGTTTTGGACAGAATTGGGCAAACATATTTTTCTGATGGAGATTGTCTCATGAGTTTTCTGAAAGATCCCAGGCAGATGAGGAGGAGACGAACTGAGTGGTTACAATCCTTACTCACTACAGTATCTACAGTAACCATCTTTTGAACTGTGAGGGTTCTGCAAAGTCAGTGGGTAAATACTGGGATTACTCTATGTTCCTTTGTCCTTCTGCCCCGCCTTGGCTTTGTCATCAATCTCTTCTTCATCCTGCTGTCGGGGCGCTCAGCTGTTGGGAATATGTCAGTTGGAGGTTTGAAGCCACATATTCTTGGAGAGCTTGACCTTGGAATTTGTTTCAATTTGAGCATCTTTGACATTCTCAGTTGGAAAGCTACAGAAATTAGCTCTTTCAGTTTGCGCTTGGAATTTTGTGTCATTCTTCAGCATCTTTATGTTCTTCCGTAGCGTTTTTGCGAGTTTTTCCTCAAGCCACTCAGGGACGCTTTTTAGCTCAGGGGTGTCGGCATTGCCATGGCGCTCAAATCTGGTGTATTCGCTTGCCTCATCCTTGCATTGTGCGTGAGCTGCAACAACGTCATGGCAGAGGAGAACTCCGGCAAGGAGACTGAGAAGGGCGGCATCATCATCGGCCGCGGCCTCCCGATTGAGACTGAGAAGAGTGGAGCGCCCTTCCTCCCTCGGTCGGAGAACCTCGAGGAGACTGAGAAGGGCGGCATCATCATCGGCCGCGGCCTCCCAATTGAGACTGAGAAGAGTGGAGCGCCCTTCCTCCCTCGGTCGGAGAACCTCGAGGAGACTGAGAAGGCGGCATCATCATCGGCCGCGGCCTCCCAATTGAGACTGAGAAGAGTGGAGCGCCCTTCCTCCCTCGGTCGGAGAACCTCGAGGAGACTGAGAAGAGCGGCATCATCATCGGCCGCGGCCTCCCAAGTGAGACTGAGAAGAGTGGAGCGCCCTTCCTCCCTCGGTCGGAGAACCTCGAGGAGACTGAGAAGAGCGGCATCATCATCGGCCGCGGCCTCCCAATTGAGACTGAGAAGAGTGGAGCGCCCTTCCTCCCTCGGTCGGAGAACCTCGAGGAGACTGAGAAGAGCGGCATCATCATCGGCCGCGGCCTCCCAAGTGAGACTGAGAAGAGTGGAGCGCCCTTCCTCCCTCGGTCGGAGAACCTCGAGGAGACTGAGAAGAGCGGCATCATCATCGGCCGCGGCCTCCCAAGTGAGACTGAGAAGAGTGGAGCGCCCTTCCTCCCTCGGTCGGAGAACCTCGAGGAGACTGAGAAGCGGGTCTTCCCATGATGGGCATGATGATGGTTCACGTCTTGAGAAGGCTTGCTTCGCCAACAGGGCGACTTGCAAAACAGTGCTTGCTTCGCCACCAGGGCGACTTGCAAAACAGGGCTCTTGGCTGATGCTTTTATGATTGACAAGGTCTGTAGGTAGCAAGGTTTCAGGGTGTCAAGTAGGAATAGGACATTGCTTCAATAGAGCATTGATGCCAGTGAGCCTTCAAAAGCTTGACATTCTGGCACCAACAAGGCACAAAACAAACATCTTTTTCACTCCATTTCGCCCCAAAAGTTTGGATTGCTGTGCCATCTACATCGCGCTGAGGTTAAGAAGACATGGTTATCAACAAGTTCATGAAGGGCGGTTTGGGCATGGTAATTGCGGTAAATAAAGAGATTTGAGATTGAGAAAGATGTGATGCTGTTGTGATATGCTAGTTTGTATGTATGCTGGTATGTATGCTGGGGGGTGGGATAGTATGTTGGCTGGGGGCTGAGGCTTCCCCTATAGGGAGAGACTGTGGTAATTAATCCCATAATCTTCATGATAAATGATGATGAAAATTATGTTGGTTATCCCCATAAATTTGAAGTGATGATTATGAAATTCAAACTCAAAATTACAAGAGGCACACAAACACTTTGAAGCATGAGGAGAATTTGAAGAAGAATGATAGTTAAATTTCATTTTATAAAAGTGAAATTGTCTTTTGTTTTGGTTTGTTGTTATGGTTTTTGGTATAGTCTATTTTATAATCTATTGTATTGTTTAGGTTGTTTGAGTTTTTTTTGTTTTGTTGTTTGTTGTTAGGTTTTATGTTGAATATCTTTGTATGAAAGCCTACACTAAATCCACCATTGATATTTTTGAAGTGCCTTGTTTTTCTGAATTTGATATTTGGCAAAAATATGATTATTCAAAGAATGATTTTAACAAGATGAATGATTTGACCTTGTATCTTGTTAAAAGCAGAGTTAGAAACTTATTTTTCAACAGGGCTTATAATTTGATTTACGGCAAGTTTTTGAGCAAATATGCTGATGATGTTGAAGTCATTTATTACACAATTCCATCTAATACATACAAAGTTAATTACAAAAAAATAGTTGATGAACTTTGGAAATTGAAACTGGATGAGGATGAGGAGAAAGATAAGTTGAAGAAAAACATGATTGCTTGTATCAACATTGGTCTATTAGAAAAGCAAACTAACAAGGCTAAAACGTCCATAGTGTTTTCAAAAATGGTTGATGCCTTTTACTATCAAGAAAAATACGGTGGTGATATAAGTATTATCACTGAAACTACATACGACCGCTATTTCAATGATGGTTATGATGATGATGATGATGATATGCTGATTGAAAGAGATGAAATGGGGAATGACATTGAGAATATTGAGGATGATAATGGTAATGATATTCCTGAAAAGATAGATGAGTGTAAGCATTATGTGCTGAACATATCTGACAAAAAACTTTGATGAATGGATATAGGTTTATCAAAGAACTTATTTTACAACATCATAACTTTGATATGAATGAGGCTTGTAAAAAATTAAAAGACAATGATGTTGAAGTCTATTCTGTAAAAACTGACGCCTTTGTGATTGATAAATCTAATCTGGGCAAAGCAAGGGAGGTCTTGAAGTTTGGTAGTGAGATTGGAGAATGGAGATGGTCTGATAAATTCAATTTTCCCAGCAAGGCATTTTGTAAGAAACCCAGTAATTTGTGTGATATTACTGAATATCAAAATATGACTGGTGAAGTGAAGGATGAATGGAATACTGATGAAATCATAGATGAGCATATTTTGAATAATAAGAGGTTGATGATTAGAGGGGAAGTAGCAGGAACAGGTAAGAGTTCTATATGTCAGCATTTACAAAATAGAGGTTATAAGGTATTATTTGTAGTGCCTACCAATAATTTAAAACAAGAGTGTGGAGCAGAAGCAATGACCATCAATAAGTTTTTTGGTATATCTTATGGTGATGAGAGACTTGAGAAGTTTGATTATTCTGATGTTGATGTCATAGTGTTTGATGAAATCATTTTTCATAATGTGGGCAAGTGGGCTTTGATATGGGACTTCTGTAAGAACAACCCTGATAAAATTGTAGTGGCAACTGGAGACACTAACCAGTTGAAAAACCCAGAGAGGGTAAGCAATGTAATGTCATTTGAGAAATATGCTGACCATTGTATTAATTTGATTTTTGAAAATAATATTACATTGTATGAGTGTAAGAGGCTGAAGACTGAAGAAGACAGAAAGAAACTTTATGATATAAAAGGTATGATTATGAACAATGAGCCTATCCTTAATGTCATTGAAAAATACTTTGGATGGAGTGATGGCAATGAGATATGTGAAAACAACATCGCTTATACTAATAAAACTTGTAGAGAGGTGAGTAGCAGAATGAGAAAGATGAAAGGTATAGAAGATGAATATGTGATAGGTGAGGAGGTAATATGTAGAAAGTATGTTAAGAATAAAGGGATGAAATTTAATGTGAATTTTAAATTCAGGGTTTCACATATTGTTGGCAATATTGTTGTTTTACAAAATGTGGCAACTAATGAGAAGCAAAATATAGAACTGAAAGTATTGAGAAAACATTTTATATATGCTTACTGCTACACGACACATTCAAAACAAGGCTGTAGTGTAGCTACCTCGCAACCAAAACACGAGAAATGATTGTTGGTCAGGTGAAGGACCCAAACTTGGCTAATTTTTGGTTGGGCTTCTATCAGAATTTACCCGGATATGACATGATATGATGTTGGTTGCGATCTTCTCCAGTATGGATTCGGACCAGGTAAAGAGTGCTGGGTAAATCGCGGTAAAGGGTGGGTGAAGATGTCAATTCGGATCTTAGAATGGATAACATGTTGGACTATGATGCCCAGCATTACCTAGTCAAGAAATTAAGCTCTTCCCCAGCTTCAAGCTCTTCCCCAGCTTCAAGCTCTAATGTTTTGCGTGGGACATGTAGGATCTCAAAGTCATGTTATTCTGAGCTAAATCCTCACTTGGAGGATCTTGGAGGATTTCAGAATTTATAGTCACTGTATGAACGTTCTCATCCCAACGACATAACGTATACATACGTATACAACAATGTACTCTACAATCCTCCAAACTTACAACATCTTACAACTGGCTTATATTCTCATCGGTTTACAACTGGCAAAATCCCTCTGCCGATACCGAGACGCAGCTGTCCACCAGGAAGCGAGCGCGGACATGGTGAAATCCACGCAAGATCTCTTCTATTCCCTGCTAGGCGGGGATTCTGCCATGGTCCAACTTCATCCACGGTGGACAGCCCCAAAAATTTGTGGGGACTTGGTGAATTTGTGAATCTAGTCATAGCCTATAGCCAAATGAAGAGTCACTGCATGTCACTGCTTAAGTCTATATAAGCGACTGCAAGCCAAATGCAAATGGCTGTTCATCCCCTACGCTGGGTCAGCATTGGATGGGTACTGTAACGACTTTTTTCCCTACTCTTTTGCCACAATTGAGGATATGTATATATATATATTTAAATAATTATATGTATACATTATAATATAATATTACGTTATATATACACGTATTAACAATGTTATGTGTATATGTATATGTATATATATATATATGTACACTATCCAGCCAAAGGGCCATGTCATGTCTTTGACAACATTTCGGCACTCTTTTTCGGCTGGGATCATCCGTTGCTGCAATTGCTCCATAGGCAACATTGTGAATAATGTCAGCTCTCTTATCTTCGGAGCCCGGGTCCAAAGACCGTGGACCCTGCGGTGAAACGGAGGTAGCAACAGCCCTGGGTTTATACGGGGGATAGTTGGATCTCTGTGAAAGAGGTTAGAGGTCCATTATTCTAGAGGCAACATTCCCATATTCAGAAAATCTTCGCATACCATGTTTTCATCGTACTCCAGACCTGGGTTTTGGTATGTTACTTTGATAGGCATTTCAGCTCAATCTGGAGGGAACAGTTGGCCCACGGCGAATCCACTGAATGCCCCTCCACAGCTTTCTATCCCCTATGTCGTTCCAAAGCAGCTGTGGACGTTGAATGAATTGCAGGCTGCTTTGATAAGGAAGTTTCCTCATTTGTCTACCGAAGAAGGACAGGGTTGTCAAAGGTAACGTTTTTAAAGGTTGGCTGAGTAAAAATTAGCAAGTTTCTTCCCCGGGACCTCACCCAAGGTGAACTCGGAAAAATAGAACCCACTGGTGTGCCCCTGGAAGTTTGGGCTGGCTTTGGGATTGGAATTTTGGTTCTGGCCCCGAAATTTCCCTATGTCGTCTCTATACCAGCCACGCATACTCGGAATTCTTCGCATTCCACAAATTCTTCGCACTCCAGCGAGGGCATCGCACTCCACAGCTAGGGACGTACACATACTGTAAAATCCACGCACTCTGCAAGATCTTCGCACTCCATAAAATCTTCGTACTCGGTGATTTTATCTTTTTTTCTGTTTTTTTCTTTTTTTCGTTTTTTTTTTGGCTAAAATCGCCTGGAATCACGTTTTCTGGAATATGGGCAAGGTAGCGGTTTCGCGTGAGACGTCTGTAGTTTCACATACTATCGCATTCCAGGCCATTTTGGCCAAAAATGACCAAAAATAAAAAAAGAAAAAAAACTCAGCAGGGTGAAATGTGATAATTTTCTGGTATATGATGGAAAAAACTGGTGTTGGATCCATGGGGAAGGTCGAAGGGGGCCACGCATACTGTTTTATTTTCGCATTCCAGAAAATTAGCGCACTCCAGGGGTGGCATCGTACTCTATCGGTGGAATTATTTTGCGCGGAAGAAAACAGGATCGTCGATGATTTGTGTTCCCAGATCCTGTTGTGCAGAGCTCTTTGCGGGGCCGCAAAGATGTCAAGAAAGATGGGGATGGCGCTGCTGATGAAAGGCCAGACAAGCGTGCCAGAACATAAGCTTAAAGCTTATGAATTTGGTTTTGAGATCCTGAAAAGTGTAGATGACAAATTTCCATAAGAACATTATTAATCCATTTTTGGAAAGCTCAACATTATTAACTATGACATTTCCAGAACTTGTTGAAAGTAAGGATCTTCTTTGGGGAAGAACATGTGCAGTCGACAACGTACGTGCCAGAAGAAAAGGAGTACTTGGCAAACTGTATGAAAAATACAAATTTCACCTGAAAGGGGTCTTCGCAATTCCCTGAAATTTCCCAGCTATTTTGGCATGGAATATGTTCGGCCGCTCGGCCCTGGAATATGGGCAAGAAATTGCTAGAATTATATAACCATTTACACAGAAATTTCATGACATTGCTATTAAATTTCACGAGCTCCTGGGATTTTGTGATTTTTAGGGAATATTGGATATCAAGGTCAAGATGCAATATTTGGTGCAGTGTACGCGCACAAGGGTGGCACCAAAAAACTTAAGCGTCATGGTTTGCACGGGTTTGCACTGGATCAGCCTTCCATACATGGAAGTGGTCCAATTAATCATTAATCGTTCAGAAAAAATGAAACGGTCGGAAACGGTCGGAAACAGTCGGAAACGGTCGGAAACGGTCGGAAACATGATCAGGCCAAAACTTGTTCAACCCGCATTTTTTTAAAAATAAGCATTTCCGCGCAACGCCGTTTTTTTTGAAGGTCCAAACGTGTCCAAGGGGAAACGGTTGGAAACAGTCGGAGATTGCACCTTCGCTCGGCAAAAAAACATGTTTTTACACAATTTTCAAAAATGTTTCATGAACATATGCTACAAAACAACTACTTTTTTGCCGAGCGAAGGTGCGATCTCCGACTGTTTCCAACCGTTTCCCCTTGGACACCTTTGGACCTTCAAAAAAAAAGGCGTTGCGCGGAAATGCTTATTTAAAAAAAAATGCGGGTTGAACAAGTTTTGGGCTGATCATGTTTCCGACCATTTCCGACCGTTTCCGACTGTTTCCGACCGTTTCCGACCGTTTCATTTTTTCTGAACGATTAATGATTAATTGGACCACTTCCATGTATGGAAGGCTGATCCAGTGCAAACCCGTGCAAACCATGACGCTTAAGTTTTTTGGTGCCACCCTTGTGCGCGTACACTGCACCAAATATTGCATCTTGACCTTGATATCCAATTCCCTAAAAATCACAAAATCCCAGGAGCTCGTGAAATTTAATAGACATTGCTGGGGTGATCCAGAGATGGTTTTCCGATGTCTTCCGCACTTCCAATGTCAGTAGCTGGGTGAGGTTCTTCTCACCATGCTGTACACCCTCTTTTGGCTATGCAGCCCAGTTCCAATGGACGCACCGCGCTTGCGGGGCTGGTTTTTGAATGATGGCAACCCCTGCGAAAACCACGGGTTGACAGAGCTATTGGATGCATAAAAAGCTGCTATACGATGCTATAATTTTGTCTGTGTTTAGGATTGTTTATATAGGTAAATCCTCCAGAGTAGGAGTCTTCATGCATGCCGCATATGTATCAGTTTGAAAGTGATCACACGTGGCAGTGGTTGGATTCACAACGAACATCCGACTCCATTTTTCCCCATGCCTGAGCAGTTCCTCAAACATGTTTAGATTGCTCTTCTGCTTGGAAGTGCATCCCACTCGTGGTTCATATATAACATGTATAATATATATATATATATGGTATATATAATATAACATGCACTATACATTATATATATATTATATTATATATTATTTATTATATATTATATGTTATATATTATGTATTATAATATATATATAATACTATATATATATTTATTATATTATTATAATATAATATACTATGTATATATATATGTTATTATTTTATATTATTTATTATATATTATATTATATATACCATATATGCATTTTTAGTAGATATAATATATATCATTATGTAGATATAGATGTTTACAACCCATGTATACATATATGCATTATATATATGTATAGGTGTATCACATCCATTTCTCAAGAAAAATGTTCTTTGAATGGCTTGTCTCAAATGGGTGACCCAAGACAAAGGTGACACCTGTGGAGACCCGGCAACAAAGATTGGATGGAAAAATGGAAAGGTAGTATACATGTATAACATTGTATAAGTGTGATATACTGTGATGTTCCATACTGGCTTATAACATGATTTGCAGGCGTTTTTGAGTCTTCGAAACACCCACCCAGCCGCGCGAGCCGCGTTTGATCATCCACGGCTGATCATCGGCTCGCAGGACTCTTCGGTTGATGTCATGTTCCGGAAGTACATCATGTGGGACATCCCAGTGAGATGGCGCCAACGTGCAATCTTGGGCGCAAAAGGGTATCATCCTATTGGCAAAAAACATGTTATATATTACGCAGAGTATTTGTGTCTAGTATGTGTGTATTTGTTGTACTATATATATAATTATATATATATGGTCAATGACACGTGATGATATGATTATGATATTATACAGTAGATATTTGGTTTACATCACAGTGTAGACTATCTTCAGAGGGTTGTTGGGGTCAGCATTTTTTGCCTTTTCACCTGTGTGACTGTAATAACCAGATCCTTCAGCAGGAACGGTGGTTGGGCATGCAGCTAAGGATTCTTGCTCAGAGCTTGGGGGTTGCTCTTAATTACCTGCAGATACACAGACATCCTGATAGTGATACTCGGGCATACTCATGCATGGGTCGCAAGTGAAGTTCGACAACTGGTTCACCAGCTGTCTTGAGTACGAACCCGGTTTGTGCTAATCTGGGCTAATATGGGATCAACAATGATAAACCATCCCCTTAGGTCCCAGCGGTGGGGTATCCCAAGCAAACCACAGATTTTCATGTGGATTCCAGCCATCCCAATCTGGGCTCGTTGTCTCTGAGGTTCAAAACCTTAGCCTGTTTTGGCTATGGAATCTCTGCTGGTTTGCTTCTCTACTTCCTCTCCATCGATTTAGCGTCCCTGGGGACAGACCAAACCACAGAACATGTCTTCAAATGGTTTCCCTACGTTGAGTAGGGGAAATCACACTGCCATTGGTGAGCAAAAACCCATGTTTTGTATTGTTTTGTATTGTTTTGTTATCAGAAGCCATACAGTGAGGACAGGTGTAAAACAAGTTTTGATCATTGAAAAGGAGTGCCAGCCTCGGTACCAGGCTTTCGAATGCCTTGGATCCATTCGCATATCTTCGGATTCTTTCATTATCTATTATAAATTAATATAAATTAATAACTTATTATTTTCTTTCCGATGTCAGAAGTCATCCAGTGACGTTGCTCAGATCGGTCTTTGCTCTCACGACCTTTGCTCTGAACTTCGTACCGGAGGCCCACCCGAAGATGTCCAAATCGACGTTTGGATACGTTTGGTGCTATGCACATTTGACATGCAGGAATTGGGAGGGTATTCATTTCCACCGCCGAGGAACCAGATTCATTTGGGTCGAACTGCATCGCAAATTTAACTGGGAATACAGCTAGGGTCTTATATGCTCAGAATTCTGGACACTGTAGATGACGTCTACTATACTTATAGACATTTATAGACCAGATGTTAGTATAGAATAGTATAGATATACACACATAATCACACATATTATAATTAAGATAATATATATATATTATAATATAATATATATATAGATAGTAGACTCAATCCGAGCATCTATTTTATAGACTCTCTGGTAGCGGGCCGCGAGGTGGGTCCCTTCATTGCCATGGCGTCTTGGCATTTGATGGCTGACATGAATTTATAAACGTTATATATTTGATTGGTGGTCTTGAACATTTTTTATTTTCCATAATATATGGAATAATAATCCCAACTGACTATATAATATTTTTCAGGGGTTGAAACCACCAACCAGATATAATGTGGGTAAAACAATAATAAACCATCCCCCAAAACACATTTTTTTTATGTGGTATAAACCATCATTCCCATTTTTGGGTGGTTTATGATTGTTTTACCCACATTATTAGTCAGACTATAAACCATCATTTCTGCCGGGACATGAGATGAAAACTCCATGAAAATTATTATGTTGTGGGAATGCAATTGATAATGGTACTTGATAATGTAGCTTATATGTTAGGGTGTATAAAAAGCTACCTGGTGTAGTGGAGATTACCATATATTGCCATATAGCGGATATACCTACCAACCAGTATACTGAAGTCGGATAGGGCTATTTTTTCATGACTCGTGTCTTGTAGGGTTTGAGATCTGAAATTGCGTTGTTTGTTGTTGCGCGAGGGGGCTGACATTTGCTAGAAATCGATGATATTCCATGCAGGACTGTAGTCTTTGATGTTTTTACAGCACGTGTTGTCCACAAAAAATAAGACTATTTATTTTGTTGCAATATTTCAGAGAACATCAATATGTGAAATAAATTTGAAATATCTTAAGTCCAAAATATAACATATTGCCTGCAAATCGTGTCATTTTTGTATGTACCTAACACGGTCCCCAAACTATCTTTAGAACCTGTTTCGATGACATTCTCCGTACTTTGCAGGGTTTCAATTTTTAAAACCGAAACTCCAAATACTAGGTACTGGGGTCGAGTCGTTGCATTGCTGTTTTGTCGTAGCGGACCAGCACCTGCCTTGGAGAACTGCATGTTCAAAAGTTTTTTTTTAAAACAGATTCTGATGTTTTGTTCTTGGATCAGCGTGTGCCTTGCGGTGTTTTTATTTCGAATTCTTTGGTAATGCATGTTAGAAAATTTGAATTGGTGCTAGAGTGCTGCTAGACTGTGCTGCTGAGGTGCTGAGCGAGTGCTGCTAAGCTGTTCCCAGAAACCGTTTTGTTACTGGACTTTTGCTGGGTGTCACAATGGGCAGCGTGTAAACTGCTGCTTGGCTGCTGCCAGACTGCTTCTAGACTGCTGCTACAGAATGCTGCTAGAATCCTGCCAGGCTGTTGGTAAGCTGCTGCTAAACTCTTGTGCTCCTAGGCTGCCGCTCCACTGCTCCGTAGCTGCTAGACTGCTACTAAACCGCCGCTAAAACAAATAGCCCAAAAAACAACACAAACCAACCCAAAATAAACCACAAACCAACCTTTAAGAACCGCTAAACCATGCTATACCTACCCTCAATGAACCCTAAACCAGCCGTCATCCAGCCGTCAATGAACCCTAAACCGCCTAAACCAATCCGGAAACAAACCAAACCAACCCGAAATCAAAATCAACCCAAAACTGTTCAAACAAACCATCAGTGAAACTTTGGGAACGTCCAGCCTGAATGGAATTCTTGACTCGGACAGACACTGATGGATCCCTGGCCACGGTTTTGTTGATTTTATTCCTGCTTGCGTTGATGCATGGTTCACATCTCCTCAACTTCATTGATCCCCTCCCCCTCTGTCATTGGTTTAGTATGGAACTGGTTCATTTTGCCGTCCCCATATGGGGATGGGCCAAAAGCTATTCTTACCATATTTGGGTGAATAAACATCCGAAATTCCCAGCTGTTTTAGGATACCATGAAAGCCAGCTTGGAGGTTTCCAATCCATGGCGGTACCCCAACTAATCCCTATTAGACCATTTTAGTATTGAAACCCATGGTGACTTGGGGATCCCCCAGTGTTTAGAACTGTTTAGAACCTCCCCACCATTCTTTGGTACAGGCCATTGCAGACTCCCTTTGGACCATCGTTAGGTCCTGCCTTGCCCGGTGATCCTCTTCGATAGTCGATTGGAGAGACCAATGCTAGCATCTCGTCGCAATTGCGGCCATTCGTTGCGGGGAGAGCTATCCCGGAAAGAAGAAAACCCATTTGGTTGGTGGTTTGGAACATTTTTTATTTTTCCATATATTGGGAATAATAATCCCAACTGACTTTCATATTTTTCAGAGAGGTTGAAACCACCAACCAGCCATGGAAATCTAATTACTGTATGTGCAATCCATGGAAGACCCTGAAATTAGCTGGGAAATTCGTTGGGAACAAACGAAACCACGGAAACTATTGGCTTCTGCAATCTTCTGCAACTGTTTCCTTGAATCCACCTAGTGACCTAGTGAACTCGAGAATCTCCTGTAATGGGGACATTGACAAATCCGCGAAACGGTTGTTTAATGATGGAACAATAGATGAATTATCATGAAACATCATGAAACAATCATTTTGGGGGATTTGTCTGACATGCCTGGACAAGAAGATGGAGATGGATCTTACCATATCCGCACGGCTTCTGATATACTGCCAATGCTGTGATCAAAACGTGTCCAAGATAGCAAACGCATCCGGTGATCAAACATGGCAATAGACAATTCCCTAATCCAATTTCCCTTCAAGCCCTCCATTTTTCGTTCGGGGATTTGCCCAGCTTTTCGATCATCCACTGAGACCCTGCTGACTGCGATCATCGGACAGTTGGCCTTGAAGTTTTCCTTCAGCAACGTCATCGAGGCCGTTTTGATTCATTGGACTGCTGATTATGCTGATTGCTGTGCTTGGCAAATGGAGGTGACACAGTAGGCAGCACGGACGCCACGGTTTGACAAAAACTACAGATAAATGGATTATATCATATCATATCATATCTACATGGATATATATATATATATATTGATATCACATAATATGGAACCTATTGGATTTATATTTAATGAATATTGTTAAGGATCATATCTACCCTTGCACGGACTTTTTTTCCTCTCGGACGTGGCATGTCCACGGATTTTTTCAAGTTTGGGAGAAACACATTTATGGACAGAGATGCTTCGAACATGTTCAAAAGTTGCTTTACGCTTCAAATGAATTGGAATACATCGTACAATGTAGAAATTTGGGTACCAACAGGGATCTGCCACTTAATTTCAGCCTTTTTGGTGCATCTGTAATTGCCACGTTCCACCTGACCACCAGGTGAAGTTGATTGAGAGTGATAAGAAGCTTCGGATGCATCCTGTGATGATCTTGCTGCCGATCGGCGAAGTGGAAGTCAAAGTCGAAGTTGCACAGTTTTCCACATTGTTTGGGGATCATGTTCCGCAGGGTTCAACCCCCAAAGGGTCATGGTGATTGGGACAACTCTTTTGGGATATTAACTATTGTTGAAATCGGGGATATTTTATGATATTGTTCCAGACTGTCGGAAGGTAACCCCGCAAAATCATGGTGATTGTTGATAAGGGGTTCATTATTTTGGTATATTTTATTTTGTGATGGGATACTGCACACCTTGCATCGTCTTGTTCACATTGCAGTATGTGTGCATGGCCACTCTATACTACTGTATATTATACAATAGTATATATCTATACTATATACATACAGAGAAGCTATGTACCATTGTATTCTGATATCTTCTAAATAACTAGTTGGTGGTTTCAAACATGTTTTATGTTCCATTTCATATATGGGATGTCATCCTTCCCATTGACGCACTCATATTTTTCAGAGGGGTAGGTCAACCACCAACCAGTGTTGTATCAAATTCAACATCATTAACCATTTAATAACCATATACTAACCATTATGAACAGTATATTAACCACATACCAAGAACATGTGGTATTTTCCCAACCGATCCACTTGAGGTCCGTGGGCATCTTCGGATATTTGTGGGGCCCCACTGGGATGCTGTCCGGCTGTCCAAGTGGAGCGGTGCCAGTGGATGGTGGATGAGTGGTAAATGGGTGGTAGATGGTTGGTAAATGGTTGGTAGATGGTTCAATCGCTTCAATTGTTCAGCTTTCTAGGGAATCACTGACTCTGAACTTTTTGGAATGGGGCATCCTTAAGGTTGGCTTATGATACCCAGTTGGGGACATCCAACTGTAGCAACTGTCGAGGGCAAGGCAAAGCCATAGCCTGCCACAAGTGGCGTCTCAAATACCAGTCATGTGGAGGACATGAGAAAACGAAGACATGATGTCAATGATGTCTGGGTAAATTATGGTGACCTGACTGTGACACTGGAATCATGCTTAGGAAGGGGAATTATCCCGATATATCCTTATTTCAGGTTAGTGAATTATTTAGATTTGCCCAGAATGATATTCCAAACATCCGAGGATATAATGATGTCACAATATTTTCTGATCCTTCTGATGGTTTCGTTGACCAATATCCCAATGTTGGTGAATACTGGTGCTTGTGGTTTCTATCCTTATGACGGCTCAACCCGAAACAGTGTTTGTTTCATATTCAGGTTAATCTGTTGATATTCTCATATTCCCATATTTTTCCATTGTTCCACATTCCCACCAAGAAAAAGGCATATGAATTGATATGGAGTATGTTCATCTATGTTTTTCTGGCCAAGAAAATGTACGCCAAAAACACACAGTTAGCACTTAAGCTCCTGGGTACCAACTGTCTCTTTGTTTTGGCCCATCATAAACAGGGGTTGCTCCAACGAATTGTAGTAGTACCCCTTCAGAAAAAAAATCTGGAAAAGCCGCAAATGTTGGTCGTCAGGCTTAGTGTGCCCTTGATGGCTTTGATGAAGATCGCGCTTTTCTCTGAGCTGGTGTGTGGTGCCCCAGGGGCAAACATGACAGATTGATGGTTGATGTATGTTGATGTTAATGATAAATAATGATAATATATCCGATTGATGATGTATTTCTATGTATTTCTTACTATTTTATATGATACAACTAAAGCATATCAACTATATAAAGCACATAGAATATAATTTACAGCGTATATCAAGTATGTGAACCCTATAGAAAATACAGAGGATTTAAGATAGGTACATATTTGTTGTATATTGACGATATATTGTGTATATATATATATACTTTTTTAAAGACTGTAAATTATATAGTTTTGATATCATACAGTACACACATTATCAGTCGTATATTGTACAATTATATACACATGATATTTTATCGATCATAATATTATATAATATGTATTCTGGAGGAATATTATACATGGTTATTACATGAATTATATATATGAATGTCTAGTTGATGTTTATGATAATATGGTTGATGGGTGTGATTGTATATTAATATAGGTTATTACTATTACCCAGATGCTCCATGTATGGAATATTTACATACATGTAGCCCAAAAATTGCCCAAATGTAGGTAAATATACCATACATGGAGCATATGGGTTATTGTTTTACTATTTATTTTATTGTCTCCATTCCGAAAATGTTTGTTGCAGTGATCATTGGCACCACGATCTGATCGGTCGGTGACGGTCACTCACGGTGAGTCGGGGTCACGGCTGCCACGGTCGGTTGATGGATGGACCAGATGGCTTCAACAGATGGGCACCATTAATCACCATTAATCACCATTAATCACCATTAATCACCATGATTTGCCATTATCAACCATTATTATTTAACTATTATTAACCATGATCATCCACTATTAACATCTATGAACCATGATTAACAATTATTAACCCCATCAGTGGTGGTACTCTAAGGGGCAAAAAACATCCCTCGAGCTGCTGGCCACGATACTTGGATGGCCTAGGCCGTCCAGCTACCGCGATCCCATCTTGGTGATCTTGGAAGGTGATCGTAGTGCCCCTCAGAAGCACGGCCTGAAGGCAGGCACACGGTGAGGCTTGAGAGGCTTGAGCGTCTCATCACCAGGAAGTGTTTTCAATTGTGTATCTTGGTGATGCTTCATGTGTTTCACCAGCTTACATGAGGTGGTCAACACAAATTGAAAAAAGAACAATCCTGATGGAATTGTCGGCTGTGAGTTTCCCACTTCAAGCCTTTACATATAAGTGTAAATAGGTAGTTTATTTATACTTCTCAAAGCGGGGAGCACCCAAAAAGCAGAAATCCTAAGTTCTCAAGCGTCGAACATTGGGGCTTTTCCTTATGGTCCAAGATAATTTCAAGTCGAGAGCAGAACAATGTTTGCCCTCCCAGTAGTCAAACGTGACAATGGAAAATCTACAAATGTAACTGTTGGTTTTTAAAAATGGAACAAATCGTCTATGAATGGAGAGTTTTCCAACCACACATGTTTGATTTCTGGGAGAATTCCATGAAATCACCATTACATATCAACCAGTATAACCTTTTTGTTTTTGGAGGACCTTTTTTCGCCCCACAAAGCGGCACTGTGGAAGGCTTCTTCCAAGCAGGGATCTCAGAAGTTGGGCAAATCAAGCTTCGGTTGGTAGTTTTATGTGGTTGTATATATATATACACACACATATATATATATACATACACACACATATATATATATATATACACATACACACACATATATATATATATATACATATATATATACACACATATACATACATACATACATACATACATACATACATACATACATACATACATACATACATACATACATACATACATACATACATACATACATGTGTATATATATATAGATATCATTATATATCTGGGTGAATTATAGCGATCGAAGCCTGCGACCGAAGCCTGGAATCATGGTTAATAAGGGGAATCATCCCGGAATGGCCGCAAGTTTTCAGGTTAGTGAATTATAATATAATTTGCCCAGATATATGGTTTTATGATATATAGAGGTTTCCTAAAAAAATAGGATAGCCCCAACAACTCATCCATTTCAATAGGATGTTCCATTATAAACCATCCAGCTATTGGGGGTACGGTTTTTTCTCTACCGCTGTCACGGTTAGCACGCACAAATCAAGCGGAAAAAACACAATTTTTTTTGGGTCCCGCCGCATCTTAGGTCATACATGTCCTGGTTGTGGTTTGGAACCTGGATTTTTTTGACCTTGTCCTTTTTTTTTGGTAATGTCATAATCCCAACGACGAACTCTTTTTTCAGAAGGGGTTGAAACCACCAAATGTAATATCTATAGATAATACTGATGGTCAAGAGCTCTTACAACTGCTATGAATCTAAAACATCACGGCTGACCATCAGTTTTCGTCGCAACCCTTTGTGGCAATCAGGCAAGGAAATTTCAAGGGGAACTTGAGGCATCCCCCCTTGGTTGGCTTAGTACTCATATCAAAAAACCATTCAACACCCACATCGTGACCGCTGTTTTTTTCCCATTGCATTCCTATCATCTCAATATCTTTGATCCGACTGCTTGTTAATATAGATAGTAGGCATATAGCAAGCTTAGCAACCTAAATCATGAGCGTCAGTTCCCAAAAAACAAATATTTTAATTAAAATAATATATACCATGATATACCATTACTTCAGGAGGACTTTACTATTTTTTTTTACACCCCAGTAAAACAACATAACTATGGAACATCCACCAATTTCATGTCGATCATTTCTCAGGGAAAGCCTGGAGAAACTCCATATCGTTGGGCACACGAATGCCATCCCCCGAAGTGATCCAATACTCAGTTTCTAGGGCGATGTTTAGTATGGGGAAGGCATTTTTATAGAGTCACTCATCATATCTTGATATATAGATATGTATAGTATACTCGCGTGTAGTCTTCTTATCTTGTAAATTACTCTTCCATACATATAACCATTCAATTCCATAGCTTTGGAAAGCCAAAATCAACCATGAATGAAGATCATTTTGCAGGAAAAACATGGATTTTCATATCTTTCATATCTACGTGGAAAAAACTGTTTTTTTCAACACATGAAATAACTGCAGACCCCTTTTTCAGGCGCTGTCATGGTGCAGTCCCTGGTGGATGAGCTGGAAGTAGCTTGGCGGTTTTCAAGGACATGGGATGATGTGAAGTTGAAACCAGCGAGCAGATGGGAAGCAGATGGGAATTCCCCATGGTAAACATGGATGTTTTATGAAGGTCTCATAAATTCCAATATGTCCACCTCATGGCAGTCGCCAAATTTCATGGGATGGATCCCTCAAAAAACGGATCAGGCTGTGGGACCTGGCAGCCGGTAGAATTCATTGTGACCCGACCTGGCAAGCTGTTATCAGCATGGCTATGAAAACGTACGCGAATGTTTGCTATCACTTGCCATGATGATCCTGGTTTTCCATATCAAAAGAAAAACATTGAAAACCGACAACCCATGATATTAATGATATACTTAGGTAGCCATCATGATCAGACTTGACCTCATCATGAACACCCATGCCCTTCTGATTCACATGTTTCCAAACATCTATATTTTTGCCTGGGTCAAAGACCCTGATAGAGATCTATTTACAAGAACGAAGTTGAGTGCATGGGCTGAGTTCAACCCAGTTCGATGCGATTGACACTTCGGCAGTCAAACATGCAATTGGAGACTTAATAACAAGAATATCATCTATGGACAACGAGTTTCCTCCTCCAACTGGCGACTTATGTCTACCAGAGGGGTGCTAGTAACCCAAGCCATGTCCAGTGGAATTTGGCAGACCCTCGTGGGTGCATCTCTCACAGGATTGGTGCTAGCTGCCTGTTTGTGTGGCATAACTCTTCAATTCGTGCTGTTAATCGTGCTCGTCAACAAATATTCGACAATATGTTTGGGAGCTTATGTGGCCTGCTTTGCTATTGTGCTCTGGGCCCTTTGGTTTTGCTTCTTCAGGACCTCAGCCCGACACTCCTCACGATGTTTTGCTGTTTCTGCTTCAAAACCTTGACGCCGAAGACGCAATGCTAAAATGGAAATGCATTTGCTTCATGTGCTTTGTCAACATGATTTCTGGGAATTTGCATGAGTTTTGTGTGGTCCGGTGACAGTCCCATTCTTACATATCACGCACAACGCAAGGCAATTGCTCGGGGGGTTGAAATATGTGGGTTTTAGATGGAGAAGCTCATTCCAAGGATTTTTTGTGAATTTTGAGTATTTTGAGTCGCATTGCCATAGTAGATACCACTGCAGAGGCATGACCCTGGCATGGTGGTCACTTGTGGTTTGGATTCCAGGTGAGTTGATCTGGATATCTGTAGGGTACCACCATGATTTGTTGCCTAGGTTGCGCATTGACGCTGCGATGTGGGGCGCTGGCGCTCCACTACACAGAGGAGAAGCCACAAACTGCAGTTCTTGAAAATTCAATTTTCCCTCACACGTTCTATCTAGTAGGAAAGGCGCATAGTTTATTTTGTTTGGTTTTGATTAATGTGTTCGATTTCAAAAACGCTGTGTGCGCAAAAAGGCCTGAAAGCAACTGTGACCACATGCGAAGTTACATTTGCAATGATCTATATTATGAGATGCGGTCATATTAAGTGTAGACTACTTTAGTAAGGGAGGGTCCAGTTGTGTTGAGAAAATGCACCAAACCATCTAAAGCGATAGGCCCCCCAAAAAAAACAATAACTTGTAACCATATTATGAGGGTGCATTAAACTTGGTGTAAACCAAGCAAATATGGTTGTGTGCCTTCACGCGATGTGCAAAATTGATTAAGAAAATTCAACCTGCAGTGCCCACGTTTCTTGCAGTTGCCATACCATTTGTTGTCCAAGGTGATTGAACCGTTGCTTTCTGCAGGCAGTTGTTTGTTTCTCCCAGGTCCCAAAGCAGTAGAATTAAACTCAACTAAATGCAACCAAATTCTGAATTAAATTGAAACATTCCGTTTATGTGCTTTACTTTAATTTGAATTTTGTATTCCTTTGTTTCCTTTTCTTTGTTTTTCCTTCCATTTTCCTTTTATTTTCCTTTGGAATTCTGAAGCAAATCAAAATTGATTTTGAATCCAATTCTGCATTTCATTTATTTTACGTGGTATTTCCCTTTTGTTTGATTTGTCCTTTCTTCTTCCTTCGTTTCCTTTCTCGTTCTTTCCTTTTTCCTTTCATTTTTTCAATTGTTCTTTTTGTTCCACGTCCCTTTTTCTTTTCCTTTCTTGATCATCAAGGTGTTCTAATTCAGCAATAACCTTAGCGATAACGGCGATAACCAAGCGATAACCTTTTGTTGTAAGTCAGGAACCCGGGACGAGGGATAGACTCATTTGATCCCAACAAGAAGAACTTAACAAAAAAACGAACAGGTTCTCAACCCTAGGCCATCAGGTTGTTTTGAGACTTGGGGAGCCTTAAGTACTTCTTCATAGCTACGAGCACTTCTTTATTCGAACTATGAGGTCCCATCTTCAATTTCTAGAGTTCTTGAGCGGGGAAGTGTGGCGTTTTCTGACGCCATGGCTTAGCAAAGAGGGACAATTGCGAGGTGACCCTTTTTCGTTTTCATAGAATTAGTGATCTTATAACCGTTGGGAACCATTGAATGCTTAGATATCTCCCCAACATGGTTGCAAACGCAAAGACGGAGCTCCCCTTAGTCCATTCCCAGCACTTTAGAGATCTGAATCCGTGAAGCCAATGCTGCTGCATTGTTGCATTATTTAGTGTTGATTTGAACAAAACACTGTAAAGCGATAGGGCCCCCCTCCAAAAGCGATGGCGATAACTTATATTTTCGTACCAAGCATCAACAATTGATTTTGACGGCGGCTCATATATATATAATATAATATATATATATTACATTATTATACATACTAAATGGAGGCTATTTTGGGCGGACTTTTATGTTTTTATGTTTTCTAGAGGGATCTGTGTTTGTTTTCCAGGCTGGCTTCATGGCTGTTGTGACTTTTAGTGGGTGTTGTGGCTTTTGTGACTTTTGTTATCTTGGCTTCTTAGTTTCTTGGCTTTTTCGTTTTTTGTTGTTTTTGGATGTTTTTGGCTTCTTGTTTTGGTTTGTTTTTGTGTTTTCTTGCCAGTATGCTTCAAAAATGTACAGACAACGAGTAAAACACCAATTAGGAAGAATAAAAGGCTATGATGCTGCTTTATAAGAAAGGAAAGATACAATAATATGATTTATAGGAGCCCTTTGGTAATATCCACTGATCTTATTTGCAACCAACACGGTTGTGCCGCAACCTACATTCTACATGAAGATGCATGTTGTGCATCATATACACAAAAATTTGCACCCTATTTTCAACCTACAGCATTACATGCGAGAATAGGTATTAACATTCTGCTGTCGGGGGAGGCGCTGCGCCATTGTTGTCAGCCCTCAATCCCGATCCTTCTGCTCCTGCTTTTTCACTTAATCCAAGCTTGCACACTTGTAAATACACTCACTACTCTATATATTATACAACTATAGAGATACATAATAATATACATAGATTGCATAGTTATTTAACGTTATTTATATGCACACCTTGTGTCTCTAAACCCAAATCCAATCTTAAACCAACCCTAAACAAACTTTGGATATACCGATATACCCTAAACCAGCCTACGACAAGCCTTAAACCACGGCCAAGTAAATTCTAAACAAACCCTTAATAAACATTAATAAACCCTAAACCAACCCTAAAGGTGAGCCAACACTAGTGACATGGCTCTGGTCCACACAAGTGAAGATAGAGGTATCCTATTTTCAGCCCTATTCGCTTTCCGATGGCATCATGGTCGTTGCAATGTCCATTGTTAATTTAGATATCTTTAGATACTGTAGGGGCTGCATCTTACGTTCAATTTGGGATTGTTCTTCCGTAGGAATATCCCCTCGCTTCCCGCTTTTTCGCAGGGTTCCAAAGGTGAGAAACCAGTCCCATTACTGCACCAGGAGCAACGATCCCAGTCACAAAGTTGGCTGGATCCTGTACAAAGTTACACGGCAGCGGTCGTTGCAGATCGGCCCCTGACTGCCCACAATTGTGCTGAAAACAATAGTTCGAAGTGACAGGGGGAAGTTCGAATCAGTTTTTTTTCTTTTTTGTTTTTTTTTAACCAAAACTATCCGTACCATGTGTGCTTTCTGCAGGATCTTTGACTTGAACCTCTAAGTCTAAGTCCAGCACCTGTGAAACAGATAAAAGGAGATATAAGGGGTCTGAATTTATTCCATCTAGTCATGTCCTTGCTTTTGCAGAATTAGTCACGAGGGTTTCTGGTTGTGAATTTTCCTTTGAACCACTTCATTGTTTGCCAAAATGAGTAATTACTCCAGAAGTCTCACTTTCATCAAGCATGCTGCTGGCATCCAGCTCGTGGCATAGAAACTCTCGTTGAGTTTTGGCTAGCATCGGAGCACCACAAATTTGGAGTATCAGTTTCAATCAGATCCAATCTTCCACAGGTTTTGTAGCGGTGAAAATGATGTGCCCTCTAGTCATCAATCATGGCTTGCCGGACAATTCTCCATCGAGTTATGACAATTGGGTGATTTTGCCCATTGAAATCCATGAAAAATATGAAAATCCCTTCACAAGCAACACATGTCCTTCCGGGATTTCTTAGCTCGGCATGACACAGGTGGAGCAGGAAAGAATCCTGGGGATCCTGAACAGGCGGCTGCTGCTATCATCATCACATGTTCATGTTTCTCATCAGTTACATCATTTCAATCTTCATAAATGACGATGATCTACGACAATGATGTATGTATGTATGTAATGTAATGTAATGTAATGTAATGTAATGTAATGTAATGTATGGGTAATGTCTGTATGCATGTCTGGTATGGATGGTATGGTATGGTATGGTATGATATGGTATGGTATGGTATGGTATGGTAATGTCATGTCATGTCATGTCATGTCATGTCATGTCATGTCATGTATGTATGTATGTATGTATATATACGTATTTGATCGTATTTGTAATAGTAACAAACATCATTATATGTAAGGCATTCAGGTAAACATGTGACGATATACCATCATGCCAATGATGAATCGCGAGGCACTGGGCCTATGGGACGATATCTGGGGTCAACCAACTTCATGGGTAATTGCATGTTCTATTATATGAAATGGATATGGGGATTTATAGTAACATTACTAACCTGCTTAAATTTGAAGCATATATATATATATATGATAGATGATGATATACTATATATATAGATGTTGATATTATATATATATACAATGATATATGATATGTAATGATATATGTTATACAATGATATATGATTCATAAATAATGATATATGATATAATGTGATGTGATATAATGATATATGATATATACCAGTTCTAATACGTATATATATAATATAACAATCTATTTACACTATATTTATATCATATACAGCATCATAATCTTTATATATATAATATATATACATATATATATAATATATATACACACAATCTATATTCGTATACAGTTTCTTGAGCTTTTCCAACATTCAGCCCTCGAGGCATCCTGTCGAACGGACCAACTTCTGGAAGCTGGTGGAGGAATGGTTCCCTGTATACGAACATACTGTAGATGTGGAACATGGATGGCCCACAGAAATAGATGAGTTAGCTATAGTTGGTGAACATGGGGAATGTCATGAAATATCCACATCTATGTTAGTTGAAGGGTACAAAATCCTTGCTATTAACAGTGTTTTGAGACTAAAAAAGGGGTCTAATTTGGCGGGTGATGGCCACAGTTCGACCATTGTCCAAGTAAGTTTTGAACCATTCACCATTCTCTTGACTTTTTTGATAATAGGTTATTCTTTGGTTTTTTCAAGACCCATTTTGACATTCTTTTTTGATGGGAGATGGGTCTTTAGGAGCACTTGGACAAGTTGGCGGCCCCACGGGTGATTCACCACAAGGCCCGGGCTTTGATTCAGAAAAACTGGTGGAAACATGTGGACATCTTTTTCCAGGTGTTTCCAGCAGGTGGATTATGTTTCAGCTGGATGTCCACATGTTTCCACCTGGATTTATTTTTCAGAAACACATGTGGATTAAGCAAAACGTGTTTTTTTTTCCAGGTGGATTTTGTATTGCTTCAGCTGGACTTGTTTTCGTGTTTTCAACAAGGTTTGACGGTTTGACCAACAAGAACTGGGGAGCTTGCCAGACAAACACTGGGATATGGATCCAAATAGTTAAATAGTTTCACCAACAATGAATGGGTACTTTCTCAGCCCAAGATTGGGTTGTAGTCGTAACCAATCAAACTAGTTGGTAGATGTTGCTGGTGTGAAATATGTGTGTGACTGTTTGTTCATTTTTCATCCGTTCTGAAGATAATACCTTCTTTCACATCATATTGCTTTGGCTTTGGGATGTGTGTTAACTTGTCTCAACCATTTGAATCACCAACTCACCCTATCTTAGAAGATAGCCGCAGCTCCAACTTTCCAGCCCAAAGTTGAACTACCTTAGGATCTGAGAACCACAATTTGGGTTGCCCATTGAAGCTTTGTAGGTGGCAAAACCAATGCTTCCTTTTCCAGTTCCGAAAAGATTGCCAAATTAGACCCATACCCAGTTGGTATATGACACCACGGCAGTTGTTCAAGTTTGTTCTCCCAAAAAATGCCAAGCTCTCTTTTATGGGATACTGTATCACATGATATTGGTATACAGGGTTTACTCATGTTTACCCCATTATAACATATTATAACATATTATAGCCCCATGATTGATAGTGTTTCATACCTTTATAGTTACCAACTGTCTAGAAACTGGGGCAGGAGTTCTTCCATCCCATCGCCACGCGAAATCGCTCAGCTTTTCTCGGACTTCAGCGCGCAGTTTCGGACGCTGATCGGCGTCAACTGCGAAAGGCGCCAGCCTGCGGAGAGGTGATGGACCACTGGTGGACCGTATGCCCTCCCTGGAACGGGTAAACAATGATAAACAATGGATAGCTTGCTGAGACTCACATACCCATGTTTTTTTAACGAAAGTGTGCGATTTGGCATGTCTTGTCTATGTTGATTCCCTTCCGACGTAAAGGGTTTTAGTGAGTACCACAACATCATGATACATCGTGACATACTCTTTTGATATGTTTTTTGCATGTGTCCAGAAACAGGGGGATCCTGCTAACTGCCGAAAAGATCCGAAAAGGGGTTTCTGCGACGTGTTTTAAAGCCGATATATAGCCATTGAATCTTGTGAGCCATGGACAAAACATTGGATTACTGGTTGGTGGTTTGGAACATTTTTCGTATTTTTCCATATATTGGTAATAATAAGAATCCCAACTGGCGAACTCATATTTTTCAGAGGGGTAGGTCAACCACCAACCAGATAATCTATAGCTATGTTGGGTATCCCGTTCATGATGGGATGACCATGGATGACCAGCATGAAATCAGTTGAAATCATGAAGTGTTCATAAAAATCCCATGTTTTTTTTTAAACATGTTTAAGATGCATGTTCCATATTTTTCCATCATAAAACATGGCTTGGGATTTTTGGCGCAAGGTCGACATTGAAATTTTGGAACGCCTGTGAGGCGTCTCTACTTTCCTCGGGAGACGATCGTGCGGGAAGGGACTACGGGTGCCTTGGGATCCGAAACGGATTTTCTTCGTTTACCCAGCAATTTGAACAGTTAGATGATAGACGTCTATGATATGGTAGAATTATCATAGATTCAAAGATGATATTGATATATTCATTTGATGAAGAATTGTCAGAATTGAATTGCTGGCAAATTTATAGATGATCATCTATAAATTTGCCAGCAATTCAATTCTAACACCCAATAGGATTGATAAGATAGTTGTTATGATAGACATGATATGATCATAGCTTTTAGATTTACAGATGCGACATGATGATAGACATAGAATTGATAGGATTGATAGCCGCTATGAATCATCATTGATGGGGATTGCACTCATTGCACATTCTGATGGAGTAGCCTGTGTGTTGAAGGTTCCCGACGGGAAGACCATCTCCACTCAATCTTGAAAGGGTCTAAATTATATATAGCACAAGAATTGTTGTGACACAAAAGCTATTCACAATCGGATTGGTTTTAGGGAACATCTACACAAAACCATGAAATTTTCACATGAAATATCGGGGGTTCCTGTATTTTTTCTCCTTAAGCCAATCCATTGATATTCACGCTACAACACATCAAAATCATTGATGCTAATGTGGTGATCCCAGTGGCAGAGCCCCTTTGTGAGTGTGGGTTTCAAATGTTTTCAACATGGATTTTTAAATATCCAGATCGTAGACTTTCGTAACCACCATGATATGGTCAAACAACGTGTTATTGTTGCGTTTAGAACATTACTAGATTAGCATATTGGAAGCAGGGTTCCATCTATTTTGAGGGCTCTTACTCTTACTGTATCTTTGATCATGAAACTTATGAATGTTACAATTCATTAACCTGATAAGCCAATAAATACCCATCGAACTGGCTTTAGGGTGAAACTACCACCCATTTCTTGAAAGTCATTGGGTATGGTTTATGATGGCATTGGGTCTACAACAGGAACAGATTGGAATCCGGTGTCCGCCTTTTTTGGGCTCTTATCACTAATCATTAAACGAAATCAAACGTGAATGTCGTGATTCATCAACAATCTCATCATATATTGCATTACATTACATTACATTACATTACATTACATTACGCTACACTACATTACATTACATAATACTATCTATATGTGTATATATATAATATATTATATATGTGTGTTTTTATATTATACATACAGCATATACCTGTATATATATATTATTGCTATTTGTTATTATTATAGGATGCAGTTTCACCAAACTGCCTCTGGCTCCGTCCATGGCTTGGTTTTTGTGGAAGGTGACCGGATGTACATCATGAACCTGGGCAGTGCTAGCGTGAAGGCAGTGCTACCATGATGGGTGGTGAGGAGGACGGGGATACTCTCTGGTAAGTTAACATTGCTATGGAAGCCATGGCCATTTAGTTCGGTGATTTAACTCTTAAAGAATGGTGATTTTCCATAGCTATGTTAGTTTACCAGAGAGTACTCACAACATAGTTTTTTTTGTGTGAGTGAATGATTCTACTTTATCAAGATAGGTACGTTGGTTGAGAAAGCTTGCTTGATTTGGCTGTGTAGTGGATGTATCGTCAGTTGGATGTTTGATGCCAGCTTCTGATTTGAGCGCCCATTCCTGTTGATTGTGACGCTATATTGTAAGGTTTCTTTTTTTTCGTGAAAATACCCCTCAAGTATCCTCAAGTTATATGATTCGAAAATCGAAAACCAAGGTTTTTGCATTTTTTTGCATATTATTTTCCCTGAGAATTAATCTACTGCTTCGTCGGAAAGGATATCAAACAACAGTGCCATTTGCGCCAATGTTTGGACCTGTCAACTGCCCTTGATACAAATTGATATCACGTACATTCACGTACAATATCATATCAGTTACATGTAGTATATCCCCATTTTATCCATGCTTTTGGTGGCGGTGCCTGTAAGGGGCCGTGCGTTCGTGTACTTTTTACTCCGCTGTTGTTTTTGTTTCTGTCAGTCTATGCTTTTTCTTATTGCTTCATGTTGGGGTATGTTTTTTGGGCGGGGTGGGTTGGGACAATAACGTCCTTGCACTTGCAAAGATAACGTGATGTTAAGTCATAAGAACTTCTTTATTGCACTTCCACATCCTCTGCACGCTACGTTATATACTTTTCCTGTTGATACGTCATATGCTGGGGGTGGGGTGGGTTGGGGCATACTTTTCTTGTTGCAATGTTCTAAGAAGTTCTCCAGCACTTTCATATCTTCTGCTCACTACGTTACATTATAAATTACTTGATGCTACGTCACAAGAACCTCTCTAGAGTTGATGCCGCGTCATGATAACTTCTCTTGTACTTTTAGTATAACTTCACTTTGGAGAGGTCTTGCTGACCTGTGCCACACATATCCCCCAAAAAAGTTTGACCCGCCAGAAAGACATGAAACAAGTGTGCGAAGTGTTGGAGAGGTTCGAAAAACACTTCCTAAGCAAACCCTGGCAGAGGTTTTGCATGTTTTTCTAACATCGCTTTCAAATGAAATCCTTCAAAACCACCATTTTTTGGCGATTCTGAAAATCGCCGTGGATCCGAAACATTCACAAACGCACGGTCCCGAGGCGCCAGCACCATATTTTTCATCGGTTTTCCCTGGAATTTTATGGCTTTAAATTCCTCAGCCGCGGCGAAAGGTGGCCAAGCAGAGCGTCATGCAGATCCGCGGAGGGTCTGGGGGCCGAGAGGCAGCTTTACACTGAAAGATTTCCTAAGTCATGGGAGCCCCAAATCATCCAAGTCATCCAAGTCATGGCTTGATCAGTTGCCCTTGGGCCACTGGAATTTGCTGGACACTCCTGCCATTTTAAAGGGGAGTTGATGATAAACCATGGCAGCAGCTTGGAAATTTTGAGACAAAATCCATCTGGCAATCAATCATTATTGCATTGGTAATTCCACCATGTTTTTCATGCATCTGGGTAAATTTTAGTGACCTCATTGTGACCTTACTGGAATGATGGTTAGGATTGGGGTAACTATCTCAAAATAGCCTAACTATTGAGGTGTGTGAATTATTGCAACTTTCCCAGATATATATATATATTATATAATATACTGTATACAATATTATCGTTGAAAATGGGTGAATTTTCCTGAGCGCCTGAGGTCTCATTTCGGCTTCAACATGATTTGCTCTGACAAGGCTCTGACACTGTGAGCCCTGGTCAAGTCGCATCAAGTTGCCACCAAACCCTGCGGGTTTACTGTACTGTCTCGTGGGGAAGGAAAGGATTGTCCAAACTTTGGCATATTTTGGCAGGATTTCTCTATCAAACATTGATGCATTGAGTGATTGCAAAACCTGCGTGGTTGTTTTTTGGGGCATCTTGTGAAGAAAACCAGCTGCAGGAGAAATACACCATGACCATCACAACTGACACCATGCTGGGAGCCAAGCCTTGAAGTGACGCTTTGCTTGCAGTAGGCTTCATTGCATCTGCGGAATCAATGCATCAAATGAATTCCCCTCCGATAGCCATGAAATGCCCATGACACATCATGATACCCTGCCCAAGTTGAGTTTTTGCAGCCCATGTGCAAGGTGTCAGGTGCTGATCATCACTAGGCCTGGGGGCTCTGGGGCTCCGGACCTCGCCGACCTTGCCGACCTTGCTTGTTGAACAAAACATATTATTTCTTTGGGAATCCATATGTGGCTTTCAAACAGATAATAACACGGTGTCTTTCTTGATAACAACCCTACCGGTTGTGAAGGAATCGCACAGAACCTGCAGTACTTACCGAAGGCCGCATATGTCCTTTTCCATCTGTTTGGTTGGTTGGTTAGTTGGTTGGTTGGTTGGTTGGTTATTTTAGGGGCCATCATCCATTTTTGTAGGTCAACCTTGGATAGTTTAAGAATCAATATTTCGCTCTAATTTGCGGTAAGAATACCAACCTAACCAGCTCAACACGAAGGGTATCCATGGGTATCCAATTTTCACACTGGATGAACCGAAGATGGTGAGGTCAAGCTATCAGCATGCACTCAGCAAGTACCCGGAGATGAAGGAGGTCGCACTTCATCTGGAGGCCTGGGTGGTTAGATGGAGCCTACATCATTTTAGTTCCAGAATAAATACACATTTACACTTACATATATATATATATATGTATCTTATGTACAGCCATACGTTATCCATAGTTATCCGGTATGTTGATATTGTTTGATACTACAAGTATGTATATTACTACAATTTACTACATATATATATATGCGTGTGTGTATACAATGTATACTGTACGTATATTCACACAAGATATACTGTAAGAAACTGTACCCCAGCGTGAGGAGATGCAGAGAAATTAGGCAATTGGGGTTCATGCAGAATGCATCCTCCAAATAGATCGTAGTATCCAACAGCAACAACAACAACAACAAATTGGGACTGAAGCAATGCAACGTGCGAATGCTCAGCGAGAATAAAAGGGATTCAAACACAAGAATGGTTTGTGAATAGCTTGACTCCAAATAATACCTGTTCGAGAGGCAACTTGAGGTGTTCATAAAGATTTTTGCGTATCAATATTGCACATGTCAGTTTGCTTTAGAATTGAAAATACGAGTTCAATTTTCCTTCAGTGGCAAGCAAAGCCAGCTTACTGTGGAGTTGCCAACAAAATGCTGGAAAACAGCAACATCCAAGACTTGGAAATATTATTTTGTACTTGACTACTCTCCAGCATAAAGGTGGCAATTGAAGGAATGCAAAAATGCTCCATCATCTTACGTACATTTTGGTAACATATAATTATAATTAATTATATAATATTATATATGCATATATACAATTATAAGTATATACATATATATATATATAGTTATATATATATATGATTATATATAAAAGTATATATATAGTTATAATTATGTATAATTATATATATATAAATATAATTGTGTGTATATATATATATATATGTAATTTATATATGTAATTATGTATCTATCTATCTATATATATATATATCATATATATATATAAATGCTCATATTATATACATACATTTATATACAATGTATATGCAGTAATATGCACTATGTGTATATACGGAACTTTCTGTCGTCTGAGGCCTCGGAACGCTCGCGGCAACGGAAGCAGTTTGCGGGCTTCATGAAACTGGCAGGGCAGCCACAGATGGTCGGTCGGTTGATTCGTGGGATGCTGGCAGATTTACCCTGCAAACGTTTACGTAGATGTGAAAGATCAACCATTTGTAGACGATTTCCCTTTTCCCCATGGCTTTTCTATACATCTTTTTGTAAACGTTGGATTTTATGTAGGCTATTCCAAAAGAACACCATTTAAATCCCATATAAGCTGGATAAAATAGAAATAGGGAGAGTCCTATGAAATCCCGCTGGAAATCCATGGAAATCACCAGCCTTTCGAGGTGCACCGAAGAAGAGGCCTGCGCTACTTGCTGGAGGCCTTAGACCGACCGGGTACATATGGGGAATCCAACTCAAGCTCATTACATACGGCGTTTCCACAAGTATACACATCTACATATGTATATATACATATATATATATAATATATATATACACATACGTATATGAATATTAATGTGTATATATATATATGTATTTACCGCATTTTACATCCACATATATATTACCGCTCGTATAATATAAACCACTGAGAAACCAGCCACAAAAGTGCATCTCATGGCCCCTTCTGGAGGACAGCGATAGGCCCCCTGCAGGCCATGCGTGATGGGATGCTCTCTGAAGCCAAGAACAGCGCGCAGGTCGGGCAGTTGTCGCAGGGGCAGCCGCTTCGCTACATTGGTACATATATATATATATACATAGTATCATATATATATATTAACTATATATACAGTATATATATAAAGCTATATATATATGTATATGTACATGTATATGTATATGTATATGTATATGTATATATATAAATATGGAGGTTTCCGAAAATGGTGGTACCCCCAAATCATCCATTCTAATGGGATTTTCCATGATTTAAACCATCCAGCTATTGGGGTACCAACATCTTAGGAAACCTCCTCATATAGAGAAAAATAGAACCATAGAATGTGCATTAGTATTTTACTAACTCAACTCAATAGGGAAAACTCATTCTTTGGATCATATATAATTACACATATATACAAGTCTGGATAATTTCTAACGACTGAACCCTGCGACCGAAGCCTGGAATGATGGTAGAAAGGGGAATGATCCCGATATGGTCGAACTTTTCAGTTGTGACGACCGAAAATGTCGAGGTGTCCAAAAAGGTAGGACAAAAACGTTCCAGAATGTCATAGATGAATATTTGATGAATATAGACTATAGGTGATACTTACAGTAGATGATATTTGCCTCATATGATCTTCAGCTTTTCAACCCGTCTATCTTTGGTGCCAGATGAACGACAGCAACAAGAGCACCTTGCAGACCGTCATCAAAGGCGGGCGGCATTTGTAGATCATCGTCCAAAGGGAAAACCACGGGTTTTCCACATCTACGTAAACGTATGTAAACGTTTATGCCCAGGGAATGGCTAACCATGGTTTCCCAAAGAGGAAATAACATGAAATAACCATCCAAAGAGGTCGGTAGATCATGTAGATCCCCTTTTCCATAGCTGCCCTTCCATGGGCGTTGGTATGGTAGCTCCAATCGGTAGGCTGGCGACAAGAAGTGGCAAAGTGACCTCCTCAGAAAACATGGTGGTAGGGGATTGGGAAACATATTGAAAACATATGGAAAAGGGCCATAGAATGGGGGTGGTTGGTGAATTTTCTTCGAATCAATTCTCATGGGATGAAGATGATGAAGAATCAGCTGAGGTCTGCAGAATTGCGGCAAGGTGATGAACAGTTCCTGGGAGAAAAAAAATCTGGGGAGATCTGGGTTTGTCTGAAAATGGTGTTGCTCTAAATCCATTGAATTCTCATCAGTGTCCCCATTAAGATAGCCATTTGGGGATATACATGGATATACCACATTTTCAGACACACCCATCTGGATCCATTGAGAATCACGATCGCGACCTGTAAATCAAACATGACTTGCTGGAAAATCACGCATTGATCGTTGATAATCCCAGCTACAACAAAAGTGGATTTTCGATTGCCACGTTTGATTGCTGGAGGATATTCAAAAAGAAGACAAAGCAAGAAAGTTGTCCTGTGGAATATGTGGAGTTGGAGTTGAACTGGTTTACCATCCGGAATTGGCTGGTTAACCACACCAACATGAGGATGATGATATTTATTTATATTTATCCAATTATTATATATGTTTGCAATAACCCCCAATAAGATAGAAAAGTAGAGTATCGTGATTTTAGTAGGACTTAAAACACATCTTTCTTTTACAGGATTGCTATGTATAATTTAATAGAACAGGTGATGCAGGCCTGGTGACCTGTGATGACACATGGGAGAACAATTGCTTGTGAATTCGAGAAGCAGGAAACGCATACATTGTTAAAGAGTTTTCCTTTGAGTTGAGTTTTTTTTGTTTGTGGATATTATATATATATATGCATTGTATATATATGCGAGCCCCCCCTAAAATCTACCTTTGATGCTTTTCCAGAGACATGCATGATGAAACTAACTGCATACTTCAACTAATTATGCAGTGAGTTTGATCATGCAAATTTTGTACGCCTTTCAAAGAAGCAGCATCCCTACAACATATAGAGCATTCCGCTAAACATGCAGTGTTCTTTTCTGAAGAAGTGCAGTTTCCCTTCAGGAAATTATTCAGCCTTCGTTCAATCACACAGTATTTCTTTCAAAACACCAGATTCCTCCTCAATATGCAGTGTGTGATTGACATTGAGTATTGCTGTGAAAATGTGCAATGGTTGATGCTCATTACAGCATTCCTTAAAAAGAAAGATTGTTCTTAAAGGCTTACAGGTTCCAATCTGCCTTGAAGACAAGATAGTCCCTTTTATGGAGCTCAGCCTTCCTCTCATGTTCCTTTTATGGCCATGTTTTAATGAAAGACTTATATAATGTCTTCAAAATAATTGCCCTGAAAACAATGTTTTTCCTCAAATAACAAGCAACATTCTTGCAGAAAAAGAATACAATACAGTATGTGGAAAGATGCAATACATCCTTTATGAAGTTCAGCCTCACTCTGAATGACAGTTGTCTTTAAAGGAAAGACTTAGTTTCTTCAAAATGATGTTGCCTATTTTGTTCAGGCGTCTCGCTCATATGAAAGGGCGTATTGCATGCATACAACCATGACATGTATCTTTCAAAAAATACTACATACACCCAAGGGTTCTACTTCAAAGTAATGTGGTTTATTTTTGTATTAATGCATGGGTTTGAATCAAATGGTTCACTCCCTTGTGAAGGAGGCTTTGCACATACTTGCACCAACTCTGCTTTAAGGAACACCATAGTCGGTTAAAATGGTTACTTAAAGGATTCCATTTTGTCGTAATTCTGTCCTCCTTCCATAAACTCCTTTACCTCTTGCTGTAAGTCCTTTGAAATAACTCTATATTCCTTTCAAAGAAATGCTGCACTCTTTTATAGTTTTGCACAGCTGTAAGTCTCTTTGAAAATAACTCTGTATTCCTAAGGAATATATATACATATATGTATATATATATACATACCTACAGCCTGAAATTGACGAGGCGAGGGGTTATTTTCGAAACCAGATTTAACGAGGCGAGGTGCTATTTTCTAAAACACATGTAACGAGGCGAGGTGCTAAATGCGCGTAACGATGATCAGACACGAGGTAGACGAGGTAAGAAATAAATGTGCACAGATTCCTTTCACATAAATGTTGCACTCCTTTATATAGTGAGACTCTACAAAATGACGTCACTTTTTGCAAGGAATGATGCGCCTTTATGCTAGGAATGTCATGTTCTTTGAAACATACTGCTGCACACGGCCTATACTATTGGTGAATTTTGCTTTGACAACAAACTTCAAAGTCTATGCTGAAACCTGTTTACTTGTTATATGTTCTAGTCTTGACTGTCTGTCTTGTATTTTTTCTTATGGTTTTAAGTAACTTTCTGAGAGGGTGCTCAAAACCATGAGAACATCAGCAAAAAATAGACACTTACCTGGATGGTGCACAACCAAATTTAGAATTATGCAGTATCTTGCTGAACCTACTGCTGCTACTCTCAAAGGATGTGGGTGTGCATTGCAACAACACCTCGATAAAGCCACACAAGACAAACACCAAAACTTTTTAGATAGTGTTTTTGTCTGAAGTTCATGCTTTGTTTTTTGGGTTTACTCCATTTCAGACTTGAACATCTCAAGTCTGACATTGTAAGGATCCAATATCCAAGATCCAAGATGTTCATTTTTTTTTCTTGGATCCAGGGCAGACATCTTGGATCCGGATTCAAGCTCCAAGATTTAATATGTTTAAAAAACTTTTCGTGGATCCAGGGCAGAAATCTTGGATCCAATTGGGATTGGTGGATCCAAGGTTTTCCAGCACAAGTTTTTCAACATCTTGGATCTTGGAATATCTTGGATTTTGGATCCGAATCCAAGATTTCTACCCTGGATCCAAGAAAAGTTTTTTGAAAATCTTTGATCTTGGATCTTGGATTCGTGCTCCCTGGGATCCGAAGTCTGACAGCTGTTCAGACTTGAGATCCCAAGTCTGACAGCTGTCCAGACTTGAAATCCCATGTCTGAGGTCCCACCTGCTATGTTTAAATCTAATGTCATTTATGTATATGTAAATGTATATGTATCTGTGTATGTGTAATTATGCATAAAAAGTGTATAAACAGTCTTCCAGGATCTTCCAGGTAGATCTCAGGGGCAGGGGGGGTACCATATGTATATATATATATATTATACACACATGGTATGTTATATATATATACATATTATATGTATATATTATTATATATACATATCATATATATATATTATGATATTATATTATATTATATTATAATATATTATATTATATTTTATTATATTATATCATATTATATTATATTATATTATATTATATATATTATGATATTATATTATATTATATTATATTATATTATATATATATTATGATATTATATTATATTATATTATATATATTATATTATATTATATTATATATATATTATGATATTATATTATATTATATTATGTTATGTTATGTTATATATATATTATATTATATTATATTATATTATATTATATTATATTATAATATAATATAATATATATATATATATATCATTTTTGATAACACATATTGAACGCAAATTAAGCGCTCACCCCGAGAGGGTCCATCCAAATTTGGTCCTCTTTGCGAGGCAATGGACTAGACTTGACCAGACTCGCAGATTGGGAGACCCAAATTCTCATTTTTGGGGGTCTAAATAGGCATGCTCGGAGTACCATCCTACATCCTGCACCCACCGGCTGATCACACTTCTCCCATATTTTCCCTATTGAAACGGCCAAAAATCCTAGAAGTGAAGGGAACACCTACTGTATAGGACCCCCATGACCCCCCGTCAACTGGCTGGCCTCTGCTGGGCGGTGCTGAGGCTGCGGCAGTTCAACGATGCACAGATCTACAACTGGTTGCAGAAGAGGACGTTGTGAAGCAGCTGGTGTCATGGGGTGTATACTGGTATGATCCCCGAAGTGAATACATGGGTGATGGTTGAAGGCGTTTGACATGCTTGTTTATGATGGTTGACTCATGTTAAATGCAACATGTTCCATTATTTTTCATGATTCAATCCGCCATGTTGATTCTTTTGATGTTTAATCACAGTGTGTGGATGGTTCAATTGTAATTTTTGATGATAAACTCACAATGTCATATGTTGGATGGTTAAAGCATGTTAAATCATGTTAAATCATGTTAAACCCCCATTTTTTCCATGGTGAATCTCCCTGTTTTGGGCTTCCATCGTTGGTTTTCGCCAGGAAGCTACGTATCGAGCAGGTGAAACCGGACCGCGAGAGGTCCCGGTGGATGATCGACACCTTATCCAACCGAGGCGGATTCCGGAGAAAATCCTGGGCCCATTGTTGTTAATGATCATTTAAATATATATATATGGATTATATGGGTCTATAGTGGTGATTATATCTAGTTTTATATATAGTGACTATAGTGATATATATATATAATATATATATATATATATGGGTGGTTGATGATGGTTGTTAATATATATATATATATATATTATATTATATATATATATATCAACTGATTTTCATATTGTTCAGAGGGATTGAAACCACCAACCAGTTATATACATAGTAATATTGCTGATTAGTGGTTAATGGAGGTTCATAGTTTCATGGATATTAGTAGTGGTTACTATAATGTGGGGGACCCCAAGAGATAACAAAGTTGGTTTAGTTCACACAAGAACTGTTGGGTTTATTTTTGGGCTCTCTCTATGTATATATATAGGTATATAGATGGGATTATATACCATTATAAACCATCTTGTTCACGTTTGGGGGCCCCACCATGTAGTTGAGTGGTTATATAATAGTCTTTGATAGTTGCTGAATGTTGTTGATATCCTGCAACAAGTGCATCATCGGGCGGTGGGGCAAGTCGATTGTTGGCGGCGCCAAATAGCAATCTTCGACCTAGACCATCAGTTGGTCCAACAGAGACCATGTCATTACTGGGGCCGGCATGGGCCGGCTACAACTCGCATTCTGGCTGTGTCTGATTTTCACGGTGTGATTGATACTGGAAGTGTTTTTCAAGTTTGATCGTGGGCATCGGGAGGAAACCTCAGGGGACGTTCCATGGAAGAACAGGCCAGCAGTGTGGAGACGACTGAGTCATTCACGGGACTTGCAGCTGGAGATCCTGCACCTCATACGTGGGGTCAAGCAATCCGAGATCTGAACGGTTGGCATCTCATGGGTGTTCGAAACAATGGGGTTGTAATTCACAGATCGCCCAGAGCACAAAGCTGCAATCATCGTGCGGACCAGACCTCGGTTCTTTGTGGACGACAAATTTTCAATTGTCGAGCAGATGTCGGCTGAAGTGTGGCGTCAAAGAATTCAGACGGAAGTCTTCTTCCTAGCAGAACAGTGCCCTTGGAAGCCTTATCTGACTCACATGCGATCATTTTTTTCAGGGTTCGTCATGGTTCGTCAACTGTGTGATTGGGGCATTGCGGCATTGTGCGCCGCTGCGATCCTGCTGAACGTCCAGCGTGGTCCCGGGAGTTCCTGCGCCAATGGCGTGACAAGGTCAACTACGTGAGAAACCAAATCGGACCCCACCCTTGTTAGCGAAATGTCTGTATGACAGGTTGAAGACACACCCAGCCATGATACACCATGTTGGTACAGTACATGAATGCACCATCATCAGGTGCGGAGATGCAAACTTTCGATTGGTTGTCGGGAAAGTTAGATCAGTGCATTCATGATTCCCAACAAGAGGCCAATGCGATAAGCATCCATGAGCGCCTCAGGAAAGTTTCAGGGATGACCGTGCCAAGGGTGGTAAGGATGGGAAGGGCAACGGGAAGCTATCCAAGGATGGCGAGGATGGCACAGGTAAATCCAACCCCAGTCCCAAACCAAGTAATTAATGGGGGATCCAATGACCAATCAAAATCCAGTTCATCCCATGCTAAAACATCGGACTTGACCCCAGCCCGAAAAGAAGAGATGCCATGCATTTATTTTTCCCCAGGTAAATGCTTTCAAGAGACATGTTTTTTCAAACATGATCCCAGCGGAAAAGGCGCCGTGGTATAAAGCTGGCCCTATAGAGTCGAAGCCTGGACCCGCCAAACTGGGTTTGGTGGCTCTGCTGGCTGCAGCGTCAACGTTTCACTACTGGTGGTGGCACGAAACCTGCATCTCCCATGAATTCCAGCAAGTCAACAACATTGTGATCTTCTGGACGAATGTCCCGTGGTCCTGTCTAATATTGGTCATTGGTTGCCAAGTCGGGTTTCAGTTTCCATTGGAAGCCCTCCGACCTCCCCTGGCTTCTGCTTGCCCATAGATTGGATCATAATGTACCGATTTTTCGTTTGCAACGTGACTTTCATTCAATATGGATTGCCATTGGTTTCCCACAACGACAAATAACAAGCTTCGCGAATCAGTGATTTGGATGCCGCAAGACCACTTCGATAAAGAGGTTACCTCCCAGCAATTTAACAAAACTATTGAAACCATGGCCATGGTCCATTTACAGGTGATTTACCCATATGTCAAATATTGTTAAATAGTGACTTTTCAGTTCGCAACTTGTGAATTTAACAGACATTGTATATGAAGAAAAAGGGTTTTCAAAAATCACTTACCAAGCATGATGCATCCAAGTAGCTTTCCGGTAGATTCGCACAGGGTGGTGCCCCCAGTTATAAGTTGGTGTATACCCCCACTAAGTATATATATATATAAATAATTATATATATATATATATATCTATTGTTATTTACCATAAATTCTAGTTATTGGATGTGTGTCCACCAACAACTTAGCGATTCCGACCTTTTGGGCACCACCTGCAGCTCTCCAGTCGTCAACATTTGGCAGGTCCCCCGGGGCCAAAGCCAAAGTTGGAGTGCCAGGGCGGTTGGGTTAAGTCTGGTTAATAATTGTGATTATGAATGGTTATATAAATAATATATAATACTATTATATCATAATGGAATATAATGGATCATAACGGCTATTACAGTAGTAGTTATTTTAATGGTTATTAGTGGGTATAACTATGGCATTCTACTCCGCATGTTTGTTGGGATATGTATTTCCTGTGTATTTAAATGGTGAAATATATCCACAGTTCGCTACAACTGCATCCCCAAACAGGACTGTGGTTGTAGCAAGAATCAATGGAAAACTCAGGATTTTATGAACCAAAACTGATCTGGTTGGTGGTTCGACTAACATCAAATTTGATGATCCTAATTGCCGTGTTGAAGGGGTTGAAGCCACCAGCCAATACACTTACGGTACAGTACTGTTCTGCAGTGTTGGAAATTTGATTTTCTGGTTCCAAAGTGTAAACCAATATAAGACATATTTTTCTGTCCTGATCCTATTTCGAAGATACCTGATAAGACCAGCATTTGAGTTTCATTTTGCGGAATTGATCCCATATTTTTGTGGGCAAAATGTGCACATATTGTTCGTTTGCCACTGCTTGGTTGACAATTCGAGGGGCAACCCATCAAAATGTTGTTAGTTGATGGCGGTTTGCGTAGACCAAACCGGTTGCACCTAGAAATTGCGGCACTGATTTCTGGGGATAGAATCGCCATCACATGTATATAATAGTACAATACATATTATATATACATATATATATACACTCTATATATATATATTTAATACATATATATATTATATTATATATTATATTATATTATATTATATCATATATTATATATTATATATATAGTATATACAATATAATATATATTATATATAATATATATTATAATGTATATACTATATATAGTTTATATTATATAAAATATAATATATATATATATTATATATATATAATATATATATAATATATATATATACACATATTCTCCAATTTTCCCGAAGTTTGGATCATCCCAATTTTTTCCTCGTTTGGTTCGTAGGAGCCGATCCACTCCAACGCCAATGCGCGTGCTGCGGCACGAATGCAGGACATTGGTGGGCTGCCGATGATGGTGGTTGATGATTATGTACGTGGTAATATGGTAAAACAATGCCATAAACCACCCAAAAATGGGAATGGTAACCATACCACCTATTTGTAGTGATTTGGGATGGTTTATGACATTGTTTTACCCACATTAAATCCAACATGGGAACTCATTGTGGGAAGGAACCAGCATCTTATGGCAGGGTTTTGGGCACCGCGCAACTGGATTTAATCACCGCGCAAGAACTGGGATTACATCCGTGAGTGTTCGGGTTGGGTCAAACGTTCAAAGCCCAGGGAATACTTTCCATGTTTGATATTATTTGAATGAGCAGTCCCTGTGTTTTTGATTGTTTTACCGGTGTTTGTGTGGTAGTACTGGTAGTGGTACTTGTACCACTGCATGAATTTCTCCATTGGAGCGACGAGACCATGGGAGAGAGCATGGGATAGCACGTAAAACCAGACACCGTTTCCATCATATCACACTGGGCTCCTGGTGAACAGCTGGGCGAAATCACCGACCTATTGATAGCTAAAACAAACTCACCAAAGGCGATGATTAGTGAGTCTTGGAGAACCATCAAAGATTTGCATTTTTAGACCCATCATATTTCCAGATTCTCCAACTGCAAACTCTGCTGAAGCTGCAGGAAATCCGAGATTGGTCACCCTACATGACACCAGCCCCTGTGTGGAGGCAGCGGGAATGCCCGGTGAATTGAAACAGGTGGAGTGGATATAGCCAGGTATAGTGAGTAGTTTCCACTTATCAATCAGAAATGATCGTTTAACCGTTTAACCATCAAAAGTGATGATTTAGTATGATTTGGAGGAAATTATATGATGGAATATAATGGGGATACTCTATGGTAATTTGACGTAGCAATGGAACATCACCATGTTTGACAAGTAACGCATGCTTGATAAGATCTTGATAAGTAAAGCGTCTACAAACGGGCGAATGTCCATGGCTATCTTAAACTACCAAAGGCTAATTTGCATTGACATATCCCCTACCTAAGACTATGGTCAATAGCGACAAGTGTGATAAGAATCATGAGCACTGGCAGCAGTATCTGTAAATGTGCGGGCCACAACAACATGCTGGTCCAAATGGTGTGTGGTTCTTCAATGCAAGCAGAAAATTCTTGCATACAGATGGTCCTGATTCGGACAACAGACGACAGGAGTCCGGCAAATTTGATTTGAAATAGTTTGATGTTTAGATTCATGGTGCTGTAGTATGGTGCTAGTAAAGGCGAAATTCATCTACATGGCTTTAGTGTGGAAAATCCTTGCTTCATCGATAACCAGTTTCTTGGAGCGTTCTGGTGTCTACGCGAGACGTCAGGCGTCGGCCGCAGTCGTGCGGCAGCCCATGGGACCACTGATGTTCTTGATGGTTTTCGAGAAACCACGAAATCATGCACCATCAAAGTTGTCTTCAAGGGAAGAAACAGGCACACAAATCATGTCACATATGTACATATAATTACATACCAGCACGTTCAAAGGGGTGCCTAATGAATTTCAAAAATTGAGATTCTTAAGGGGTGCCTAATGGGCACCCCTTAGCGTTCATGGAGATGGCACACCAGAAAATGATGAGTTCCAACCCAAAATCTTCCAATCCCACCCGCGTGGCATCTGTGGTGCACCCGACTTCATGTTTGGCGAGAAGAAATGCATGCGTTTCTTTTCGCGTCGGATGTAAAATGTTCCCAATGTTCAAGAAAACTAGTCAAAATCGACACGAAATGACACGCGCAGGGGTTGTTCAAAAAGCACCCGACACGTTTCTAAGGGGTGCTTATTAGACACCCGTTTGCCTAAGGGGTGCTTATTGGACACCCCCTACCGACCGACACGACACGGCAGTGACACGCAATGACACGCATGTTTTTCTTGATTTCTCCAAAAAAACTCGTGACCACTTATGACCGACACGACACGGCAATGACACGAAATGACACGCATTTCTGGAAGCAAACGTGGGGAAATCGAAGAAAAATGCACATATTACTATGAATACTTCATGATTTGTTAGTTTGGAACCTTAAAAATTAAGGGGTGCCTAATGGTTACCCCCCTTAAGGGGTGCCTAATTGAGACCCGTTTGTACATCCTGGTATGTACATATAATTACATATATATATATAATACATATTGGTTTGTCTGAAAATAAGGTACAACATGGTACCACCAAATTTTGTAAAGTTCCACTGTGGTTGTGCTCTCCCTGATTGTCATCAATAGTGTCACTGCGCACTCTGTGTTGTTTTCCTTCCCTCTCTAGGCAAATTGTTTATACAGGCTACAGGCTCAAGGCCTTGATCATGTCGGCAATGTATTGTACACAGACACTATGGCACAGACATGTATTGTACATAATTAATAATTGTACATAATTGTAAGAGGGGTTCATCTTAAATTTGATGGTTGATAATATCATATAAATGTCATATATAATAACTATAATCATATCATATCCCTTCGCCCTAATATTTTTCGCACCCAGAAACCATGGTGGATGTCGGGGATTTATATACACCTCGGGACCAGGCCCAGGACGGAGCGTGGTCCTAGCCGAGCACGCGGCCATCGTTCAGAGGCGATCGTAACTGTCCCATTTTGGGAATATTGGACATCACCTGAAAAAGTAGCCATCTAGTAGACCATATACCTAATGGTTGGGTGATGTTCAATGGGGACATTTAATGACCCATGGAAATCTTCTGGTTGCTATTGATCCATATGATCAGCTTATATCAGCTTCATCATTCTGCCTCAGTCATTACCGGGGGGAAAAAACCATGTTGTACCTGTCTTGGGTGGGCCGTTTGGGGTGAACATCCAGCCACACCAGCTATTTGGCAAGGCTATTTTTTGGACGCATGATGTGAAGACCAGGAATTTTGACCTATACCCAATTGACCATGCCCAATAATGAACCATTTGACCATGTGTGATATGTCATATATATATATGAGCAACCGTAAAAACCCCGGCAATACTAAATATGTATTCGACGGACATTGGCTTATGGAAATTGATGGAAATTGCTAAAAACACGAGGTAAGCGATGGGACCTTCCCAAATTAGCGATACCCCTTTTCAAGGTTATGTTATCATATTTCTCTAATATCCACATTAGCGATACCCAAATATCACATATTATTCATAGTTCATCATATATATATATAAATACAGCAGTTTCCTACAAGCGATACCCCCCAAGTTTACCATATATCATTATTGTACAAACGTGTGGTAAGCGATGGGACCTTCCCAAATTTGTGAATGTCCTTTCCGTGAACCTAGGGTTTTCACAATCGCTCATATATAAATAAACATACACAAGAAAAAAAATACATCCCAAAGAAACAGGGCATATTTTGGCGGATGATGGGGTTGACCACATGTGTAAGCCAAAAATTCCTCAAATGAGCAATGGGAGATCCCTGCGTTTTAACGTACAATTGCGTATCATTGCAAACATTATGTTAGATCTTATATAATGTGGCAATATATTGATTGGTGCATACTGCATATATATATATATATATGTACGCAATGGTTAATGTACTGTATATGTACAAAGATCAATGTATATATATATATATATACATTATAGTGTATATACAAGGAGGGCCCTCAATGAAGAGGGCTGAAAACAGCGTCCGTTAGCGACCCCAAATTCAGACCTTTTGCACACACAGCACGAGGCCCCACGTATAGGGTCAAAGCAGCGGCTCCCCCCCCGCACCCCCAGGATCAATGTTGTTTCCTGGTGTTAATCACTGCAGCAGCCATCTTCCAAAGCGTCAGGTCTTCACAGCAAGACATTTTCGTCAACCTTGATTCCGGGGGGTGCAGGGGGGGGCCAACATGTGGCCGGAAAGGCCCTTTGAATTAGGAAGAAACACATGTGCCGTCACTCCAGGTGGCACATCACAGCTGCAAGACCGCGTGATGTTTGTGTGTGTGTGTGAAAACTAACAATGATCAATGGCGATGTCAATCTTTGCATTGGCTCCACTGCAACACTAGCATGCTTCGGTGTGGGAACTACTAAGCACGATGTCACAACTTTATATTGGCTCTGCCGCAAAACTACTATGCTTCTGTGTGAAAACTACTAAGGGGAATTTCAAACTTTGTATTGGCTCGGTGGCAAAACTACTAAGGAATTGTTCAATGGACAAAAAAGGAAACACTTTCTTCTATTTCTTTTCAATTGGCAGAATTCCTTAGTAGTTTTGCGTCCAAGCCATTGTGATTTCAATTTCACGGGTTAGTAGTTTTTCATGCGTGCATGAGCTGTGACTCTGCCGTGCCAATGCAAAGTCTGCGAAAATGGTTGGAAGTATCCTTAGTAGTTTTTTGGGGCCACAGCAAAAACAGGTGCCAAAGCACGCAAAAACGTGTTTTTGATGCCTTGGGAGACAGCAGTCGTTAGGTAACCTGCCGCGTGTGACTTCACCACATTCCTGTCTGACTCCTTTAGAGACAGCAGTCTCAAGTGCTTCAGTGAGACATATAGTTTTGAGGAAGCTGCTGCTGACTCCTCGGGAGACAGCAGTCACAAGTGCTTCAGTGAGACATATAGTTTTGAAGAAGCTGCTACTGCTGACGGGTCATTTTGAAGGCCAGGAGCCACGAGAGGTCTTGGGTGCTCAGTTTGCCCGCCGATTTCAAGACTCTGCGTCGTTTTTTCTCCTGGCGCAGAGCTGAAACAAAAAGATTGAAAGTACAAGTGGTGCGATGCAGGTGCAATGCAGCTTCACCAAAAAAAACCTGAGATGGGAAAGATGAAGGTGCAAGTGGCATGATGGAATGTCAATACAGCTTCAACAACACAAACATGGCACACAAGGATGAAATTGAACCAGCCTGGGCCTTGACTTCTCGACTGGTTTGCTGCAGCTGGCGTTTCAAGGCCTGCCTTTCAGCTTTCAAAGCAGCTATACGGTCATCCATCCCGGGCACATGGGCTACAGCAGCACCTTCCGCAGCATCCCTTTCCATACCAGCGGCGGCAGACGACATGGCTATAGATATATATAGTCAAATTGTGTTTTCTGCGACGAGCTGTGAGCAGTGCTAGCTGCAGAAGCCATGCCGTCTGGACAGCTTCCATGCCAATTTTCTCAAACTGCACAACTGGAAGATAGTGTGACAAAACATGGCCGGTGGGGGCCCAAAACTGGGGGCTTGAAAAGTGATGCCAAAGGGACTCCCGCACCATGTACCCCCATAGTATTATGGAAAAAAAATCTTTGTCCTATAGTGCCACCCACGTCTGCAAATCTTTTGGATCCACCCGGAGCGGCAGCATCAAAGAAAAAGAGCCTTATACGCGTGCGCCATTTGGCGTCGCGCTGGCCAAACGCACTGCATCTGCTGGGGTGTCGGCCTGTCAGGCCCAGGCCAAGGCACCCCTGCACCCATGAAGTGTTGAAGCGCTTTGTGCACTTGACCTGGGCCATTGCAGCCCACTGCATCGAAGCTTTTCTGCCATTGCCGAGCTGCCCAAAATTCGTGTGGGGCTTGCATGCACTGCCATAGCCAGGCCAGAGGAGGCACTAAACCATGCTCTGAATATGAGCGCAACTCCTGGTGCTTCCTTATCAAAAATTGTTTAAAAGGGGAGAAGCCTTGCAGATCAAGCGGCTGTAGGTAATCCGTTGTCTGCGCTGGGATATATACAAGCTGCAGCTTGCACTTGCGTGCCATTGCCATGACCTGCCGTGGCAGGTGTGCCGGCGCACAATCAAGGAGTACAACGCCTTGTTTTGACGGAAAACTTTTCAACACTTCTGCGATCTCTTTGGGAATTTGGGCACTGTTGGCAGCAGAGGTCCAAGCGGACTTTTGCCGCAAAACACGCAAACGAGTTTGTGGCAAAGCGCGCTGGGCGCGCAAGAGCTTCTTCATGAGTTTCACCTAGGTGCCAATGAGAAAATGAGGCAACTTCCCTTGGATGTGCTTGCAATTGCAAATCACGCTGCCATAAGTCCACGCAGCTCGAACATGTTGCTTCAGCACCTGTGCATGCGGCTGTTTGCCCCCTGCTGTCCGTGGCTTTGCCACACATCCAATAGGCGGTGTCATGGTGTGGCCGACGCTAGTCTCATCCAGATTTATAAAAAGCAGCTCCCTGTCCGCGAACCTGCTGTGGCAATAGCAGATGGTCCGCCAAAATGTCATGACCTGCTCGAGCGCTGCAGGAAGTGAAAGACAAAGCCTTATTATATATAGGGTCCCCAAATATAATTCCGAGGGAAGAAATTGATTGAAAATGGGGGCCTATTTTTGGTGCCAGATTCTGGCCCCAAAAATGGGACCGCCCAACCGGGATTAAGTAGGCTTATACAGGCATGAAACATGAGGGGGACCCATTTTTGGGGCCACATTCCGGCCCCAAAAATGGAGCCACCCAACCCAAAAAAAGAAGACAAAATGTTGTAAGTTGGCTGGCCCGCGCCTTGTCGCGCAGTACAGCGGGGTCTCTGCTAACAACTTGCTTCAGCACCTTCCGGCGGACGCCCCACCGAGCCCGCCAGCGCTGCACCCACTTATTGACCATGCGTTTGTTTGGCACACCCATGTCCAGCTTCTGGCCATGGAAGGCCTCCTCCCACTTCAAAAACGTGTCCATCGCAGAAGGTGCTTGACCATGATTCGTATTGCAGTCATAGACCCACTGCTCCGTGGCTGCTTCGGCCAGGAAGGCTTGCGCTTTGCGTGAAGCTGTGTCATCCAAAGCGGTCAAATCTGGCAGCGGCGTCGTCAGCAACATCTCTTGGATCAAAGCTGCCGTGGGGTACCCATTGCTGCCATAGGATATCGTTGTCAAAGCACAAGCCATGCGGAGAGTCAAATCCATGTTAAAATTCGACAGCATGTAAACAGCTACCACAGTTTTGCGGGCTGCCACTCCAAGGCCGGCACAGTGCAACCTTTTCCGTTTTTTGGCATTCTGCCGATAAGCCGCTTTCAGTGCTTTGCCATTCTGCACCAAGGCTTCCTTCAAGTCTGACACCCTGGCATCAGATGTGCCTTCGGCCACACCCAGGGCGGCTGCATGACTGACCGCAGAAAAACTATCTGTCGGCAGACTCATTGAAAACATTCGTGTCATGTCAAACCAATCTGTCTGATACAGCTGAATTCGAATGGAAGCAAGGAAGATGACCTAATGAGTGCGGCCAAAGCATGGCCTCGGCATTTCAAAGCATACAAATTCATGTCTGGCTCATGCAAAAAACAAAAACTATATTGCTGTTGCATGCAGTCAGCGCGGCAAGACTTGATTCATATGGCTGCGTCCAGGAAAAAACATCGAGGAGAGGCGACCTGTGAGGAGCAGGCAAGACCGAACAATGATGATGAGCCGTCCAATCATGTGGGTTTGTGTTATGACACTGTTATGGAAAATACACTGCTGGTTATCTCTCCACATCATGCAGGTTTGTGTTGTCACAAGGAGGGCCCTCAATGAAGAGGGCTGAAATCAGCGTCCGTTAGCGACCCCAAATTCAGACCTTTTGCACACACAGCACGAGGCCCCACGTATAGGGTCACAGCAGCGGCTCCCCCCCCGCACCC